GTCCTAAGACATGGCTAGGAAAACGGTTGTCGATGAGCGAGTTGGTATTAAGAATTCTACGGGTGGAACCTTGTTGTATTCTCTCCACAAGAAGGATATGAGAAGGGAGCACGTTGGAAAATAAGAGCAAACAGTATTCAGCGATATGCTTTACATAAACCTTGTAAATAATGATTTTAGATTCATTCTGAAGGAAGTTACGAAGAATGGAGCTTAGAGATTCCCGCAATTTAGATGGTTTGGAGGAATTATGTTCAGGGAAGTTAAGACTGTGAGTAACATACTACTAGATTAACTACTGATGTGAAATTGAACAGTATGTTCTCGTTAGATGTTAGTTCTATTCTAGAAGACATGTCTCTAACCCTTAATGCTTATACCGGATACGTATGTTGATGAGTTTATGTTGTACTTTTTGCATAGTAATACGCACATCGCAAATGTCAGTTCTGTATATGACTTTTGAGTCATCAGAGTAAATGTAAGTTAAAACCCCTGCATATATTGTTGATTTGGATTGTAAAAAGCAATGAACTCAAGACATTATCCTGCACAACACCAATAATTATTGACCGCGAGGTCGATTTTTTAGAGTTGATTTTAGTTATTTGGTGTCTGTTCTTGAGAAAAGATTTAATTCATCGCAATAGTAGGTTTGTTTTCCCAACAGACTTAAGTCTGCTGATTAGTTCGTTACGAGTTACCTTACCGAAAGCCTCCTTAATATCGAAATACGGTACATCCGTTATTTTTTTCTCACGTTTGTGAGTAACCTCGTGAAAGAAGTCTATCAGAAATGTATTGCCGGACGTTATTCTAATGAAGCCGTGTTGTGACGAGTCTATTGGATCTTCTCTAAGAAGGTGGTCAGATAGTTGATCTTGCATCACTTTTCCATTATGTAACCGATCTAAACGTCAAACAGATACGGGATGGGTAAATTGAGCCTTACAAAACACAACCAGAACAACCGTACATAGCCAGCAGCTACACACACTAAATCTATACTACATTACTATTTGTATATTCGAAAGCGCTTTTAGTGGCCCGAGGATCTGATTCCATTTAGATCGTACATATTTTCGTTATCGCCTATTCTCGTATCAAATCGTCGACTTAATCGTGTTAGCCAATAACGGAATTAAATAAGTCGAATAACGAGAATTGATATATATATATATGTATATTGAAGCAAAATGACAGGCATGGAGGATGGCTGGGAAGCCAACTCCATTTTAGTCAAGCATTAATCAATATTTATAGTCGGACAAAATAAAGTTACAGACATGCAATGAGTCATGGGATATGGTGTGCACACACATATACGCTCATATGAAAACAATGAAGACTGATAAGCGAATAAATAACAAGGTCAAAGTATGGCTCAAGTAGAATGAATGAAATGGGATGTTCGAAAGCAAGAATAAGGTATATGGGCTTAGCATAATAACTGACACTACGCGCTATGACTAGATTAGACCTGCGAAAAGCGAATTGGAAAACATGATAGACTTGAGATCTATCCTGTCGTTAAAAAGCCCATGACAATCTCCATTTCAGATGGTCGCATGAAAAGACAGCAATCAATTCGACCAACTGGTGATTATTAGAGACTTAATACGAGAGCCATCTAAGGTCGTTACCCGCTGCCATACATCTATGACATCACAACTAACTTAAAACGTCAGACTGGATATTTAAAATCGACATGCTTAAGCAGGTAATTAGATTGCAATGTTTCAAGAAGACTTTTGCGAAACAGCTGTCATCACTCTGTAGAGATTATATACAATTTCATACACTCCTTCTAATTCAAGAAATGATTCGCAAAACCTTCGGAGATTCATCGATGACGTATTCATCAGTCTTAACTCCATGCACAATATTTTTATTACTGCCTAACCACGTTCTGACAGAGAATCTCAACTCCAGCATCCGGACTTTGTTCTCAAAGTACACAAAAAACATGGCATTACTGAAATTATTCAGGATTATCAGATCGGAACCATATTTTAGACCTTTCTGGGGAATACTTTTGACGCCCATGATACTCACACTTTACAATTTTAGTTGTGGACGTTCTGGGTTATTCATAACCGGCAACAGTAAAGTAAATACGCACTTATTACGACACGTTTTTAACGACGGTTTATCTAGATTTGAGCGTCTCTCACAAGACTCTTCACTGACTAGCTTCGTAGAAGTGCTAAATTCGTCAATCTGGACGACATCACAAAGTTAAGAAATGTTTCGCAATGTCAATTGTCTTCGCACACCACCACCCGTAATCATCCATAAGTATCACCGCAGATGCAAGTAACACAACTAACGGAGGAGTCTTCTGACAATAAGTAATCAACACGTGAAAACGTTTGTTACCCTTTGCGAGTTGGTCCCAAGGTAATGAGTTGAAGTAAAGTACTTTCAACAAGCGGATCAATGACATGTATTAAGCTACAAAGCATTTTTAAAACTCTGAGGAAGCCAGAAGTCTCACTCTGTTCACCGATTATAATTCTCCTACTTTTCCTATTAGCCAGCCTTCAGGCAATTACTCTACTCTTCAGTATTGACGACGAAACTTATCTCAGTTTACGTCATATGTACATGTAGTTAAAGACGCCTCATCTCGAATGACTTCCTTGAACAGTTTCCATGGAACTGAAAATCTTAAACTTGTCCATCTTCCTGAAGACACTAATCTTGAGCACCAATTACTTTCGATAACCTAAAAGTCATTGATAAAATAGGTGAGAACAGGTTAGGAAACCTTATAATGTAACCCATCTGCAGATAGAGATTGGACAGTTGTGCTGAAACATTATCGACACAACGCCTTCAATACGTTGCCAAACTTTTTCCGCCAGGTGTTTGTGCAACCATGAAGCTTATCGCAAAACAGTTTTATCGACCTGATATGAATAAAAACTTGAGGAAAAGAGTACGCACATTGGGGGGGGGCGATTAAATACAAAACATACCACTTAGGCTCATTCAATACTCCTGATTCTCGTTTCAGCCATATTCATCTAGATTTGATAGAGCCCCAACCCGATGAAAATAGATACCTTTATCTTTTATCGTATGTAGACCAGTTCACTCGATGTTCAGAAACCTATCAATGTCGGATGTCAATCTAAACGCTCATAAGATGAATACCGAAAAATCTAAATATGATGTCATTTGAAGAAACTGAACTAAAGATAACATCGGCATAGACCATCCAAAAACATCTTATTTTGTAGTGAACCTCATTTATGCTGACTTTGCAACAAAGAAATCCCTATATATTAAAATACAAAGCCCAGTAATTAACAACAGAAACCTCGTTGGTATCTGATAATCGACCAGAAATCCTAAAACCATTTAGTGAAGTTTTTCTAGTTGCAGTATGGTACAGATACGCATATATACATGTTTTTTGCACGTATTCCCGGGTTATGCGAGTAAGACTCGATATGAACCTAAATTTTTTAATTTTTATTTTCCAAGACAACTGGAAGAGATGAATTGTCGAAAACGAATATGATGAATTGAAATTTTCAGTAAACATTATTTTCATCATGTACCACCTGACGCCTTACAGTAAGGAAAGATGAGTAGATGCCAATGAATATACGAAGCTACCAGGATATTGTTTACAAACGAAATGATTGCTGGATTTAAACCTACGACCAATCCCGCCTAAAGGTTATTACAACATAATTAGGAGAGTGAGCCACAGGAGTATATAAATCCATCAACAAGGTAGTTTTGTAAGTCTTCGAAATCGACGGTGACATCACTAGTTTCACTTTACACACTGAAGCTGAAGGTTCTCGATCACATATCCTCATCAGGCATGTCGCACTACAACTAGCCGGCTCGCATCACTTATCAACATATCGATAACTCCAAAAATATCTTCGAACTCGATCATTCCTGAATTCCGGTTTTACTGGCTTTGAGATCTCCGATCACGAAGGTTTTAAAAACAACAGCTTTGGAAAATACATGACATACTTTCAGTGAAAACGAAATAGTCACAAACAAAAGTGATAGTTTGATTATTTCTACACTTGTTCATTCTAAATAATAAAGGGAGCTTATCAGAGTATTCAATTCTATGATCTATAGAACATCGCCGAGAATACTGAGAGTTCTTGATTATTTTACTTGTTAATTGTTTTATATAAACAATAACTGAGTCTTTCAACGTCCAAACGGCCTTAGAACTAAGTATTCGTGTCTACTACGGGGCATTAAAACAATAATTGGGCTAAATGTATGTACACACATAACCGTCTACTTTACACATTTTCACCAACAAAATTTTGTCTGACAAATTAATTGAACTCTGTTTAGTTAGTGCTGTTATAAATTCAGTGCATGGAAAGTAGTATATCTGTTATAAAAAGCTTATTTCTTATCACTACAAGCTTAAACCGAAGACGTATGCTGGGAAACATAACAAACATACTGATCCTCAAACTCCAGAGCTTTACGATGGTCATCTCTATTTCATATCATTCAAACCATACATTATCGCACGGGAGATGTGTCTAGCAACAACTAAAAAAAAGAAATGATGCACCAAAACAGTTCAATTTAATTTTCTCTATAAAAATAAGAGTTCAAAGAAATCTTCAAATAGTCTATGTATAATCATCATGTATCTCTCTCTGATAGATTGACGAATCAATGATATCTATACCTTTATTATCTCATATATATGTGTACATTACTTACTTACACCTGTTACCCCTCTTAAAGAAGAACAGGTCGCGCACCAGCACTCTCCATCCAACCCTGTCTTGGAAAATCTATTCCTGTTTCTATTCATCCTTTTCATATCTGCTTCCATTTCCCGATGTACAGTGTTCTTGTTGGCGTTTTTTCTAACAAGACTTTTTTTCTACAGGATGGGATTGCCAAACCCCATTCCCAACCCGGGCTTGAGACCGGCAATAACTCTAGAATAGCTATTAATCGAACTGATATTTAGTATAAAAACACACACATTATAGTTATTCATCAGAATTTCATGCAATTTATTACAATAAAAACAAAAAGCTTATGCATATTATTGTTATATGAATTGGCGCCTAAATTGCAAAATAAACAACCATTCAATATACAAACCTACATATATATATATATGTATCAAGAAAAAACAAAATAAACGAAGTTAATATCAACAATAATTTCCAGAAATGATTTTAACCCCCCCCCAAAAAAAATTAGTTTTATCGTTAACAAATTAGTAAAACAAGAACAAAAGATAAAAAATAAATAAACAAACAAGCTAATTGAATAAAGGAAAAGAAAGCTGTTTATAGTTAATTAAAATATAAAGAGATGCAAGAATATTTCAGTGAAATAAATAAACATTTGTTTACTTTCATCGAATTGTAACCATGGTAACAATAACAAGATTGTAAAATATATATATATATATTACCGGTTAAATATATGACATAAGACACAAGAAACATTTTATTCTATCAATATACAATATTAATTGTCTTTAAATATACAAGTACAATATTAGAATAAGACAACAACAAAGAACACAATTACTTACAAGGACTATAGAGAGGTCACTAAGAAGAAGAAACATAAACAAACAAAAAAGAAAATTATTTGAACTAATCAATATACAAACTTTCATAGTTTTATTGCTTTGCAATAACACAAAAAAGGAACTTTATATTAAGATACTGCATTATAGAACCATATACTTTATAGATAAGGTCGAAGAAGTTTATATAATTATGTTCTAATATCATGGGAATTTTTCAACGATTAACAACAACAACTTCAAATCAAACTGTATTGCGAAATCAGTCTCATCTACACACTGAACACACACATAGATACATACATACATACACACAAAGTCAATTGATGAAAATAAGTGAAAACATTTTACAAAACAATCCATATTTGTCAAATAGATGAAATAAGCACAATATACACTAATAAAGAGTTGGTGAAGATTTATAACTCAGGTGGATGATTTTGATGAGGTTTTGTTCTCTTACCTGGATAGTTTGGTCATGGAGCTTTCATTGTTCTTCTGAACAACAACAACATCAGTACAAACTTCAGATAGAAGTGCTCCATGGCCAAACTATCCAGCTTAGAGAACAAAACTTCATTAAGAACTAATAAAGAGTTCAATATAGATATATACGAATGAAATTCAAATGGTATAGTATTATTTATATTAGATAATGTAATTGAAGTGATAAAAGATAGATATATAAAGGAAAGGAAGAGAAAAGAATGAAAATAACAAAGGTAGGTAAAGCACTTGATTCTTCGACAGTATTATATATATATACCTTAATTAATACTGAAGAACATATTTACAATACATGGAAGATTACTTTAGCTGAAAAGATAACTCTTCTCGACTGAATGAATCTTTCTTATTGAATGTCTCTTTTTATAATGGATATTATATTCCATTTACAATTTCATATCATCATTTATAAATTAACGTACAATTGAATGTAATTGTTTATTATTATTATTATTATTATGATAATAAGAATTTGATTTTATACGTGGATGCCAAATAAATTTTTGTCCATTATTCACACGCATTTTAATACTGGCACCTTCAGCAATATGTAATGCTTCAATAACAGATTGCATTAAATTTTGTGCATTACCTACTAATGATTCAGTATTTTCTTGATCTTCTGTAGAACCTATGAAAAAGAAAGAAAGAATAGAAAACAGTAAGAAAATGAGATTGACATAAATGAATGGGATAAAACAATTGAGATTTTTAGTGTATGATCAAGAAAAATGAATTATAAGCATTTGTAAAGCAAAACAATTTGTGATATAATTGAGATCATGAATCGATGAATGTTAGATCACCTTGGGGTACCTGGAAGCACTAGGCGGCCGCTTCGTTCTAATATGGGACTCTACAACAGTGCACATCCACGATCCTGCATGCGAGATTCAAACTCGGTGCTTTCAGTCTTCCGCACGAACATTTAAACTCTAGACCACTGAGCTGGCTGGCATTCACCTCAACGAAATTGCGCGACCATTTTCCATTATACTGAGGTAGATACTTATCTCTATACGACATGGATTAATGATAGTGATCATGGCTTCTCACTAGAACTCTGAGGATTCCCTCACGAAGCTAGTCACTAGTGAGCACATGGTAATTAACAGTATGGGGTTGTGGAGATTATTAAATTTTTGATTGAGATCATGAGTCGATTGATGTTAGAACACTATAGAACGAAATGGTTGTCCAATGCTTTCAGGTTTTCAATGATGGTCTGACATCATTCGGTTCATGATCTTAATGAAAAACTTAATAATCTCCACAACTCTATACTGATAATTTGTGACATCATGATGTTTATTAGATAAATAAGACATTAATTGACTAATTCAACAAGTAAACATTTATATGATTGGCTTCAAGTTTTAATCTAAATGTAGGAGCTAGTGTAGTATCACTCGGTTACCTTAAACTGAAGGATTATTTAAAAATGCGACTTGGTAGCTGACATTTAAATGTATGTACTCAGTAAAACATGAATAGAACTTCCCTGACAGTGGCTGTATACGCATGGCCATGTGAGAGCATTTAGAAAGAGAATCGACTCTCCTGGAGAGTTTACTCGAAGAAATATCAAAGTATTAATTTAAAGTTAACAATCATAAACAGATTAAAAGTTCTTAAGAGAAATACATTTAAAATTCGCATTGTCTTAAGTAAAAGTAACTACAATGAACAGTCAATAAATTAGTAACCGAAGTAAAGTTACCTAAATAATCGAATTTTATTTATTATGTTTACAATGTAATTACCATAAAGTAAACCTCGAAGAGACTGTTTTAAGTATCTCAACAAGAGGTTAAATAACAGAAAAAAAAAGATGAACCACTGAACTTTAGATAAATCTCAAGTTCGATTTAGTTAGAAAAATCATCAATATGTAATTGAGAATCAGAGAAACAGGCAACTGGCGATCTTTGATAACTATGAGAAAGGGGTGTGTGTGTGCAGATTGTACTAATTTAATAGTTCGATTTATGATGCCAGCTCAATGTTCTAGAGATTAAGCGTTCGTGTGCGAGATCGAACGTCTTGCGTTCGAATCCCGCGAGTGAAGTCCTGGATGTGCACTGCTGAGGAGTCCCATACTAGGACAAAACGACCATTCAGACTTTCCATGGTGGTTTACCTCTAATTGACCCATGAATTCAACTGTTAGATCTTTGATAAAAAGAATTTGTGATGGCATTATACCAATAAAATTATCTTTACTGAATGAATTAATTGTTATGTGAAAAAAACCCACACTGAAATTAGCCACACAAAGCTTTTTTATAGAAAAGGTCAAATATTTTGGCAAAGCAGAAAACGTAAAACAAACTGTTCCACATAATTGTACATAGTTGGACAGGTGTAAAATTGTTGAAACACTCGAAGTAACAGAGAACATTTAGCAAAAACATCAGAAATGATGCAAGCAGGCAACGAAGAACGTTGGGTTTATTTACAATACTGAGGGAATGAATATCTTCAGTAAAAATTAGGACTTTTATTATTATTTAAACACATAAACATTGGTGCAAGGAGGCACCAAATAAATATGCTCTGTAATACTGCCCGAGTTCCCAAATTAAAGCAGGTGATTTCCTTAGAGGGCCACTTCTCGAAACTTTGACCCAAAGGTCTAATCCACAAGGTAGTGAAGCAACGTTAGTAGATGCAGTTTATACGCCATCTGTTCTTTTAGGATGCCGGAACCTATGAGGACAATCGGTTTGAAATCAAGGCTTTCCAACTCCCCTAGGTGGATCCACCAACGCAGTTAAAGCGACGGATATTCGCTTTTCATCTCGATTTCGTAAAAAAAAACACCACCGCCGTGAGAAGGACTTCCCTGGAAGTGGGTGAACGTACGTGGCTATGTGAGAGCATTTAGAGAGGGGGAACTGAATCTCCCCCACTTTCAGTTGTGGCAGAACATGTGTAGGCGACCACTACGTCCGACCACCTACTGCTACAGTTGAAGATATCACCACTGAGTAATTCACACTAAGACTGTATGACAGAGGCGTTTATAATAAACTTCATAATATACATTCTCCATGCTAACACATTATTGTCATGCACAATAAATCTATATCCATATTTTAAGTATCCCACGCATTACACAAATCAACCAAATAGGAAATAAGCAAATAAGTAAAGAACTTATAAAGGTTACATACATATAACTAGTATCAGAAGGGGTTTTGTGGATATTATATTCATTCTAATGATTGAGCTTATGAGTCAATCGAAGCCAGACCATCATAGAAAACCTGGAAGTGTGGTGTGGGTTACATATATCCACATAAGTGGTAATATAACGGTGGTCAGGCATAGAATGTATTTCAGTAGATCGATAAGGAAAGAACAGGAACGGAACGTAATTGGTATGATATGCGTAAACAATGAAACCTAAGACAATGGACTGATATTTGAAAAAGGAACAGTCATGCTTGAGACGTTGGATTGATATTTTGAAAATTAAGTATTTACTATATGGTTTTCAGATTTTAGTGAGATGCTCTGTAATTTCGTGTCAAATACATTCGATTGTCCCCATTCATGTTCTTGTTCACTACAAAAACAATGGACGGCTATTTCATCCTACTGTGGAACTTCTCAACAGTGCGCATCCACGATCCCGTTTTGCGAGATTCGAGTGTAGGACCTAATCAGTCTTGCGCGCGAGTTTTTAAACCACTAGACACTATACATATAACTCTTTGTTGGAAAAGCAATTAGTCAAATCACATGCTTTAAGACAAAAAAAGGAAAAGAAAACAGTAGATAAGAATGAAACATCAAGACAGACAGCAAATAATAGTCAAGCATAATCATAACATTCAAGCGAAATTTCTAACACAAACAACAATAATGATCAATAGCATAAAGATGAAAAGCATCAAACAATTAAATATATCAAATAGAACAATAAATTGCAATCAGCTGATTGGGATACACGGAAGCAAAACCAAAACACAGCATTAATAGATAATATTACCACAATCAAGTTCCGATTGTAATGGAGCTTCGAACCAGGAATCATCTTTAAGTGTATGTATAGAAGAATTAAAAATATAATGAGAAACAACAAACTAAAGCAAAAAAACAACAGATTTTATTCATATTCACTAATGTTCACAAGTAAATTAGAAATATTGCTGGCGTAAGTAATAGTAATAGTGAGGTTAGACGCAAGGTATTAGGGAATGATGGTAAATCAGTTGATGAGGTTATGAATCTTCATCGACTGAGATGATTGGACCACGTGTTACGTATGTCTGAACACCGATTACCTTGACGTGCAATGCTAACCGGTGTTGAAGGTGGTTGGAAGAAAGTTAGGGGAGGTCAAACCAAAACGTGGCATCAGTGCTTGAAGTCAATAACTTCTGGTCTGAGCCATGTTGGTAGATGCAGACTACTTGGTTGGGGTCCGCGTGACTATCGTAACCAATGGTTGGAGACTCTTGGTGACATGGCTCAGAATCGATCACAATGGCATAAGTGTATACACTCTCATCTGCCCTAAAACGATAAGATTAAAATCGCTTCATATCTTTCTTTCTACGAACCAATTCTTTCTTTCTGTACTATATCCTTATATGCAATCTTTCTTTTATATATTACCACAACTGAATTAACTACTTTTATGAATCCGGTGTTCATATTTTTGTGTTAACGAGGTATGTCAACTTGGATCGATGCATATATGTGCCTGGTCCTATGTTGTAGCTGACTGACTGAAATTAGTTATATTAAGTTATCTTGGTTACGTAATTCTGTCTTATAAGATTGGTTGATTAACTAATCTATCCAGTACAAACTAATACATTTATCTCTGAGTTATAATCTAGTTATGTGTTTCGTGTTGATACCATTCAGTCTCTCAAACTGAACTACAAGAAGTTGGATTCGAACCAGCCAGTTGAGTGTTACTATTTCGCTTTTGACAAATGTAATATAAAAAAAATAGTGGGATGAAGAGTGTCTGGTGTTGTAGTGCTCAGTGTACTTTAAATGACAGTAGGAAAAAACACGTGAAAAAGGTGGGATTATCAAGATTAATCAATTGTTAACTAAACTAACAAATAATGTGGCCATTCTATTCCTGATATAATTGAGTTAACTTGATACAGCTGATCGTTTATTCTGTAAAGAAAAAGACTACTCATGTCAAGAAATGTCAGAGATTCTAGTTTCTATTAACTTCGCCTGGAGCCCCTCATGGTAACCGGTGACCAACAATTGATTCGGACGCCATCTGCTCTTTTAGGATCCTCGAGCCCATGTGTATCATGGATTTGGAATCAGGATTTTACAACTCTCGTAGGTGGACCTTTTATATCTACCAACCCGGTTAAAGCACCGGACATTCGCTTTTTGTACTCTCAATTTCGTAAACAGCAACCCGTTCGCAAGGATGCAGTGAATAGGACTTGTGTGGCAGTAGTTATAGGCACATCGCCATGTAAGAACAGACTCTCCCCACCATCGACCGTACTATGGCATTTGGGGGTGAAATGTCCATTAGAGATGATTAAACGAATCACACGAAAGTTGAAACACATTAGTCAGTTTTTCCAAAATATTGTAGAACTCTTAATTAGGAATATTAGAATCACCTAACTTTATTCAACAGGTAATTTCAATATATCCACGCTTCATTCATCAAAGATAGATAGATACCAAACAAGGTACTATTGGAAACTAAAGAATACTAGAGACCTAGTTTTTCCTAATGTGAAATTCTTTTAGTAGTGAGTACTGAAATCAATCAGTCACAAATATAACCTATGGATAAAAGTAATCTCAGACAAGTCCATCACATACCTTAAAACATTAATAAATTATCCATGAGATTTATTTAATTAAGTTATATTACTAATGAGTAATCATTGTATTAACGCTTAGTTTGCTTGCTCATATTTCCATTAGATAAGAAAACATGATAATTCAACGATGGGATAACAGAAAATAGACACCTTCATTGAATTATCATTCCTTAATAACTATTTAAGTGAGAATTTCCTGCTTTCGTATTTTAACAGTTGCTTGAACGCTGGACACTTTGACACTGGATAACAGAATTACAAGTATCCATGAGATCATATTTCTCCATATCTAGTGACTAGATTCGAGAAGTAATTCTCGGAGTTCCAATGAGAAGCCGAGACTAGTGGAGCTCATCTTTGTCGGTTGTGAGTCAGTTACCCACTGGAGATATCTATAATTAACAGTTTGTTGATGGTTCCATTGCACCAAATTTAAACTGCCAGCCTCAAGTGATTTAAAGCCATTATTATACACTACCATATGTATCAAGAAGTCACGACAGAAATCTTGAATTTATTCGACTGGAATTGAAGTGTTCAACTGAATCTGACGACGTTAGTGTGATTTCATAGAAAATTAAACCATTACAATCTATTCATAGTAGTGTAATTAACTACTTTGTAATGCTATGATTTTATTGGCCTCTTCATGAGTAAGTTCAAAAACATCCTACATTAATATCTTCCACATATATCTGTGTATATAGTGAAGGTGCAACGGTTATGAGGTATCCTCATAACAATCACATTTCAATACCCCCTACATCCTTGTGTTTTAAACTGTTTAATTAGTTTGCAACTTTATGTCTACCTTAAGGAATTCAGAATATTTCACTTTTGTAACGGTGAATTTGACATGGATTTTGAAATGCATATTCAGAAAATAAATTTGAAATGAAGTTTACTGTAATGCACGAAGACTTAGGTAAAGAAATCAGTTATTGTTGGGGTGATCCGGCAAATTTCTCGCAAAAGACAAGCAAGTATCAGGAATCACTAACAAGCGTTTTGTCCAATCAGCGTTCACTTGATGTTTTTGCCAAAACATGAAGAAGCGAAACGTCACATGTAGAGGTTCTGATTGGCTGATTGTTACACTGCTACTATATTTAGTAGCATTCCAGAATCTTCTAGCAACCCAAGGACATTTTAAAAAATATTATAAAAACCCTGTATTTTCTGTATTAGAATGAACCTTGGAGTAAACTAGTTCTCGCATACTTTGCGTCTTCTCTCTCGTGTTCAGGTCGCTGTATAGTTCTAGCTGGGGGTTACAGAATAGTTTAGGAGACGAATATAGCTTTCAATCCGCAAGACTTATCAGTTATATTACATAAAATTACAAAGAGTCATTGTCAAATATGGGAGCAATGCATTACATATAGTATTTGCTCATCATTCTTGAATTATTCCTAACAAACTAAGTCGTTCTTCCATTCCTGTTCATATTTCAGTTGACTTCTGTTCTCCTTTCTTTTCTTCTTCTTTCAAAAAGAATTCTACTTCATATGCCCGATACATACTACTGATATCTGTTCATATAAGTAGCACACACAGCATATTACTATTAAAATATCACAAAGAATTTCATACATAAAGTTTCTTAACCTTCTTCAGTTTTTATTCAGTAATCAAACGTAGCTTTTTGACATATATCCCCATATAAGACTAGAGTAACAAACTGTCCAAACCTAAATTTGACTACTTTATGGTTTCAGTGTGATTGAACAGTATTTCCTAACTCATGGAATTGAGATTAATTAGTTATTTAACTGTATAACTTTGCTTTGTGTTAATCAAGTTACATTGATCAGCTTCAACATGCCATGGGGTTCGGCAAATGTACACATGAAATCGCATTAGTACAATGAGACATAATTATTTTAAGACAACTTTCTAAGTAGTAAAAGTAGCAACAGTATCGGTAGTAGATAAGATTAGGTATAAGTAATATGACTATAGAAAAAGAAAGAATAAATCGGGATGGAGTTTTGTTCTCTGAGCTGGATGGTTTAATCTTGGAGCTTTCATTGTTCTTCTGAACAAACGAATAAATCCCTTGAATATAAAGTATGAGATAAGTTCAAAACTCAAAATATAAGAAAAGATAAATAATGAATGTATCTATGTTATTATGGATGAATTTTTGAGAAAAGCCACTTGAAGCCTTGTAAATTTGCTGGTAACAGTTATTATTAGACACTTAAAAAAAACACCCACCACCACCTACCTTGTGTTCCAAGCATAGTGGCTTTTACAGTAGATAAAATTTTCAATTGGTTCCCAATAGTGAGAATACGATCACTTAGGTGTAAAAGATTCTAAAAACAATAAAAAACAACGATAAAATTAACATACATTACTATCATTACTTATTTAAACACATAAACATTGGTACAAGGAGACACCAAATTGGTATGAGTCATGTAAATCATTCGATTTGGGTGAGAGCTAGGACACTGCCTGGATGCCCAGCTTGAAGCAGATGATTTTCTTAAGGGACCACACTCCGAGCCTTTAACCTAAAGGTTTAATTCATAAGGCAGAGGAACAACGTCAAGAGATGCAGTCTCATGGTAGCCAATGACCAATAATTTGTCCATACGCAATTTTTTCCTTCAGGATCCTGGAGCCAGAAATGAATCAATGGTTTGTTATCAAAGTTTTCCAACTCCCCTAGGTGGATCCACCAACCCGGTTAAAGCACCGCACATTAGCTTTTCATCCTCTCAATTTCGTGAACGACAGTAATGCCACGAGGTAATGAGTAGGACATGCGTGACAGTGGTTGTATGCACATGGCCATGTAAGAGTATTTCTAGAGAAAGAGCTGACTATCCCTGAACTTGGCCGTACCAGGGAATTTGGGGGCATTATTTATAATATTATTGTGGGGTATCAGTCAAAATGAGGAAAATGGTGTATTTAGCATTTAACCTTTATCACCTTTTATCAACAATAACAATGAAAGATGAAATAAAAACATTAAACAAGAGTTCAGTAATTCAACTATTGTGTTAATACATTTGAAATTAGTAGAGTAACTTATAGAGGATGGAGTTTATGTTTTAATGTAGAATTGATGAAGTTTACTTTATTTATGGCATATAAATAGTGGCACAATTAAACACTAAAAGTAGTAGTCACTCATGAAACAGGACTATAGATTTAAACTTCCGAAAGAATAGATAACAATAGCCAGAAAAATAGGCTTGTTCATGAAATAAGACATTGTAATTTATTTGATATGATATAACTGAAGAGTGAAAATATCATGCGTCATACAAAAATTTTTTTTGTCTAGGCTAAGATATTGCTCGAGTGCCGAAGTAGAACTGGGTGTTATTCTTAAAAAATCACTCGTCAAGCATTTAACCTAAATGTTTAATCTATAAGGTAGTGGAATAACATGAAAGATTACTATTTTATGGTGATCGGAGACTGGAAATAGGTTCATGTGTTAATTGTCACCTCAGGATCCTGGAGTTCAAGTATATCACTGTATTAAAATTATTGATTTCTAACATCTTTATGCAGACCCTCCGAATCCACCAACCCAAATTGAGTGCAGTATGTTCGCTTTTCGCCTTGCGGCTTTTTTAAACAACACTGGCATCATAAAAAGATATTGAGCAAGCCTTCCTTGGAATGAGCTGTACACCTATAAATGTATGAATGAGAACACTTCACATCATCAGTCGTAACAAAACATTCTGGAGCTGAAGTAGGGAGATATGAACTGTCCGATTCCTAATCACTGGGGAAAAATGAACTTACTCAGTATAAAAATATCATGGCTTAAGTTTTAACTGCATGTGCAATGGTACATGGGAGCATTATTAAATAGCCTTAAACTAGAGAGAAAATACTTGGTGCTGTTTACTTGTATCTTCCCTGAGATGCAGGTACATCCAGCTGACGAGTCCCAAATAGGACGAAACGCGCGTCAAACTGGATTTTACTGCTAACAATTATTCATATTTGCTTGGAGAGAAAATAGCTATCAAATATTTCGAAAAAGTTAACTAATTTCGTGATGTAAACTAATTACAAATTAAAATTTGTTCTCCAAAATATTACACTAAGTACTATTTGAACAGTTGAGATCATGAGTCAATTGAAGCTAGACCATCATGGAAAACCTGGAAGCACTGGACTGCTGTTTCATCCTATTGTCGGACTCCTCAGCAGTACATATCCACGACTCCGCCTCGCGAAATTAGAACCCAGGATCTACCAGTCTCTCGCACAAGCTCTTAACCACTAGACCATTGAGTCGGAATCCAGTGGTACTAATGTACAACTTCAGTTAATCCACGAAATTGAGCGATATATCCACCAGTATCATCAGTGAGTTACTATCTCACAACCCACAACCATTTGAACAGCTAAAAATATATTAACCATTGAATAGAAGCATTATGTAACGGATTTTGACGTTTCTATTACAGTAACTATTATTAGTAATAATAATGGTAAATTATTGTTAACGTCAACGTTTATTGTTTAGTAAAGTAGAAATAGATTTCATCTTGTCTCATTTATTCAAATATGAAAAATAGTCATACAATGAAGCTTTGAGGGTACTACTTGTACTACTACTAGTAGTACTACCATTACTACCTCTACTACTGCTAATAATAATAAGTCGATTTGCACACATGATTACGTAAGCGAAACTCCACCGCAAACCAACCGTAACACACTTTATTTGAGTAAATGATAAGAAGGAAGAAGTAGGATATTTTAAAACACAAATGACAATGTAACTAGTTTCAATGTCAAATTTTAGTCAAGAGTAAAACTTATTCATTGGAACTAACAATCATTTTACTATGAAAAAAGATACGTATATATATATATATATATATATATATATATATATATATATATGGGGTAAAATGGTGTATCTAGAATCTATTGGATGAGTTATATCAAGTGAATTATAGTTATGTAATCAAGTATGAGCTGATAGTGTTTAACGTTAAGTTACATTATTTTACTTGATTCGAAGGCTAATGTTACTAAGATTAATTATTGTTGATATGGAAACAGTTGAACCATGATTTGAATTGATGATTTAATGTTGAAAAAGTCAAATTTAATTTATTAATTACCAGGATATTAGTAGTATCTAATGTGCCTTGATTAAAAGAAATAGAAGAAATTTGTTATTTATTTATTTGAACATATAAATATTGGTACAAAGAGGCATTGAATACATATGCACCATACACATCATTTGATTTGTGTGTGATACTGTCCAGGTGCTCAAATCGAAGCAGATCGTTTTCTTAGAGGGCCACATTTGGAACGTTCAAACTAAAGGTCTGATCCACCAGGCAGTGGAACGACGTCAAGAGATGTAGTCTAATGGTAGTCAGTGACCAACAGTTGGTTCGTACGTCATTTGTCCCTTCAGTATCCTGGAACCAATGTGCACCAATGGTTTGGAATGAGGGTTTGCCAACTTCCCTAGATGCATCCTCCATAACCACCAATTTCGTAAACAACGATAATGCCACGAGAAGGCAGTGAGTAGGACTTATATGGCAGTGGTTAGTATGTACGTGGTCATGTGAGAGCATTTCGAGAGAGAGAGCTGACTCTTCCTAACCTTGGCTTATGGGGTGGGAGAGTAGAAAACAATCATTGTAGTACTAATAATAATATAATAAACACCAGTGAGAGAAGTATGGTAAAACAACAACAATAACAGAGAATGATTACAGAAATGTATTTATTTGTATGAATTTATGTAATAAATTTAGAAAGAGGAGGATGGGGGACAGAAAGTATATGGTGCTTTTAATAACTAACTAAATTCAGTCAAAATATACATGAACTTTTTTGTTTATAGAATATTTAACAAATTATGCATGGTAACAATAACAAACAATAAATCATCTTTAGATTAAGGTATTAAAAACATGGAATTTTGTTTATAAACTTCAATAATAATTTTTATTAGTTATAACAAGAAGAGTATAGCAACTATTCTACAATCAATTTCAATTATGATTAAGCCATTTTATTAACTTACGTAACAGATAATGTTATTTGAACAGTATTTCTTTGTACTATTATGATCATTACCATATTTGTACATACATGTACTCTGGATCATATGTGACATCCTACTCACATCTCTATCTAGGTTGATTATTGATAGCCTAAATATCGCACGATGAATCATTCTCTACTCCATCGATGTATGTACTTGAATTCTATTATTAGTATTTGCCTTTCCTATCTGAGCCTTGATTCAGTTTGACTATAAATTTGCCACTGTATTGGTTTGCATACACATCGTCACCTCTCTCTTTCAAATTTGCTCGATGTGATTGTGGCTTTGTGATCTGTGCTATCAGCTAATAAGTTGTAGTCGCTGCTTCTTACTGCTTGTTGATTCTAAACACTATCGGGATTTATATCATAACGGTTATCGAAGTGAATGATATATATATATATATATATATATATATATATATATATATATATATATATATATATATATATATATATAAAGCGTACCACCAATAGGTACTTGTTAAAAATTTATGCAATGACGTTTAGTTAGGCATGAAATGATCATGAATCCATATACATATCAATATGTGAATGACAGTAATAATGTAGTCTCCATCAAATGGAGGATTCGGCGAGACTATAATTTATGGACAAACCAATCAGGTATAGGATGATAGGTCTCAGATTTTGGCGCGAAATTCATTCACTCATTTGCCTAAATAGAGTTTTGACATTATAGCCGATGTCAGTTCGTGATGAAAACCCTAAATGTAATTCCTAACACTAAACATCAACTGTAAATCATAATTCTAATTCCTCACACACTGGTTTATAACCCTCTATTGATCCTAATTATTAGGTGGACACTCTCAAGGTCACTTTAGCGTCGCTCAAAGGTCGTCCCTAAATTATAGTCTCACCGAGAATTCAGTTGGAACAAGGTTAAATGGTTTAGTATATTAGTTGAGAAGACTATGGGAATTATATGATGTTCTCGTATTCACATAAATATTTATTTTATAGTGTGTGTCATGGAATAACGTCAGTGGAAAAAAAAGTTGTAAACTAGTAATGTACAACTGTTTCCTCTTTCTATAAAACTTCTTGACCATACACATCCATGACCCCACCAGTGATTGAATCTAGGACATTTAAGTAACCACGATGAGTGCTTAACTTTAATAGCAATGAGTTGACATCAAAAGGTTCACATGTGTAACTTTATTTACTTCGTGATACCGTAGAATCATCTTTCAATGTCACGAGCGATTAACTTTTCAACATAAGATGTGGTTGAACTTCATTGATCATAGTTTCTTGATTCTCAGTGAGATCATAGACACATACCATCCTAAATAAATATGAAAGAGTCGTCCTGTATTCATTGGATTTTAACGGTTATTTAAGGTTAATCAGTATAGTAGACTGTAAAATTTGGAAAACTTTACAAATCTCTAATATAAATAAACAAACATTATACAATAACAGTCAACAACTATGTAAAAAGAAAAAGAATAACAGCAAACTAATCTACACAACTTACCGAACGTATACGACGATCTGTACATTCTTTAGCTAATACTTTTGCACATTGATTAACATCCAAAGATGCTTCAGCAATAGCCATAGAAACATTAATCAGGTCCTTCTTTGTACCGTATTCACCACTGATTATGTTTTTGATTTTTAATTAAGAGAATACCAAAAAATAGACCAATAATATCGGAATAAACAAAGTGTATGTTTTCACAATTGATTGATCAATGGGTGGTGATCAATATCATGTGTGTCAAGATCGAATGCTATCGACCAAGTTGCAATGTGGCCACTAGTCTAGGTGACTCGACATTGCGTGCACTATGTTGAAATAAGATGGTGGTTAGAGATAGTCAACAGGAAACCCTGGACCTGGATCTCGTGCTACTTGACTTTCGTCAACAAGGTACACGTTTAATCTTTGAGGAATTGGTGCTCCTTAAAGGATATGATCCCGTGTCACCCAGCTACACAATCACAGACATTACCACTGCGCTATCCGGGCTGCGAACGACCTCCTGTAGGACTGGGATGTAATCACAATCGACTGATCACTGGGTAGTAATCAATGTCATGTGTGTCAAGTCTATGTTTGAATAAAATACTTCGATTATTTAATTATGAAACGAAAAATATAACAAATTAAGAAAGATTTGTTTTCATAGTGAGAATGATGGAAGTCACTTTAAGAAGTAAGAGATTCAATGATTTGACGAGTTGTACAAGTTACTAAATTCGCGGTTTTATATAGTTCAACAATCAATCAAGGGCAAGAATTACTAGATAACTGTTTTGATCTATAATCATTTTAGTGATGCTTATCCTCGGCTACACCAGTGATCGGAATAACGACCCTTGCGTATAATGATAAGTGCTGCATTAAGTTTTAGTGGTAGATCAAACACTTGTAACACAGATTCAATCAAGTTTTGCTGTAGATTTCATTAAGTTCATATTGTAAATTACTGAAATTTAATATGAAACTGGATCTACATGACCTATATATAATGGAGGACTGACAAACAGCACTGTAACAAAAATCAAGAACACGATGGGACACAGACAAGAATTTGTGAAGAAGCAAAACATGTTACGGAGGTAGGAGAAAACGAATTTTAGACTTAGATAAATAAAAACTCTAAACAACTAATGAAATAACAGCGAAGGTCATTGAAGAAATATAAATTGGAAAAGTGTTACCATAGTTATCGTTACAAGTACGAAATATTATTTATTAAAAAAGAAACTAGATAACCTGTAATCTCCCTTGGGAGAAGTAAAAACGAATAATCATTTTTTTATTTGATCACCAAACTATAAAGATTGAGATCCATCATCTCCCGACCGTTGTTGCTACCTCGACGTGGTGGTTGGGCTTGTCTATCGTGATGAACCAATAGAGCTATACTGGCTGGAACAATCGTTCCTCAAGGTCCCACAATGCCAAACAGGTCGCTTGAACAACGGTAAGACTAAAAGCAACAAACCCAAGGTCCGAAGGCGAAGCCGTACTGCTGACTGTACAGAGGTGTGACAGCAGTAAGGTGTTTCCTCCAGACAACCAGCATGACAGCGATGCTGCCTTCCCACAAGGAGGGGCGGGGTTAGAAAAGGTCGACCCTAAAAATGCACACCTCGCCTTATCCCACGGATATCCGTCTCCGGCGGTAAGGTCTCAACAAGTATGTAGCTAACACGAAAATTATCCACAAAAAAGTCGTGTGTGACCGACCTCAAGCAGTTGTCCCTTGGGCACTGCGGTCACGCTCTCAGGTCACTAAGACTATAGTTTATGGACAAACTTTGAACGACGCTAAAGTGACCTTTAGAATATCAAACTACTTACTAGAGCTAAATGAGGATTATGAAGCAGTATGAAGAATAAGAATTATGATTTACAATTGATTGAACTGACATCAGTTAAAATGCCAAAACGCTATTTAGCCAAAAGGATGAATGAAATTCGAGCCAAAATCCAAGACCTGTAATCCCAAATCTGATTGCTTTGTCCATAAATTATAATCTCGCCGTAATTTTTAGATCATATGAGTTATCAAGAACAAATTTTTAACAGAAAAATAGAAGAAACAAGGAAACTAATGACTGAAAAGTAATACTAAATGTAGATAGAAGGATTAAAGAGGTTGATTATGAATACAATGGTCTTAAGTGCTGTTAGAGGTATGAGGGTGATTATCACTTCCCGGTTACGCATACTGTGGAAGGGTTCTTTTAGAGGTACCTGAAAAAAATTTGATTAGAGGTGATCTTAGTGACTTGAGGGCGTGACCGCATTGTTCAAGGGATAACTGCTTGAGGTCGGTCACACACGACTTTTTTATGGTTAACTTTTGTGTTAGCTCCGTACTTATTGAGACCTTACCGCCGGAGACGGATATCCGTGGGATAAGGCGAGGTGTGCATTTTTAGGGTCGACCTTTTCTAACCCCGCCCCTCCTTGTGGGAAGGCAGCATCGCTGTCATGCTGGTTGTCTGGAGGAAACACCTTACTGCTGTCACACCTCTGTACAGTCAGCAGTACGGCTTCGCCTTCGGACCTTGGGTTTGTTGCTTTTAGTCTTACCGTTGTTCAAGCGACCTGTTTGGCATTGTGGGACCTTGAGGAACGATTGTTCCAGCCAGTATAGCTCTATTGGTTCATCACGATAGACAAGCCTGACCACCACGTCAAGGTAGCAACAACGGTCGGGACTAAATGTAGATAGTACATTTTTTTAAACTCTAACTATTCAATTAAATTCAAAGAAGAACATCAATCGATATTTAAAAAGAATCCATGACAACATGTATAAAGATAAATAAATTGAATTGATAAAATTAAAATATTTACCGAACAATTTGACTTAATTGAGCCATTAAAGCAGCCATACGTTTAGTTGCTGCAATTAATTCATTATCTCGACTAGACCATAATCGTGTTTCATGATGTAATGCATGAGCAGCGGCCTAAAATTATAAATCAATAAGGAACTAGTAGTTGAATCAATAAGTATACAAAAAAAAGAAGTAAGATCTACAAAACTGACTTATTCCTGGTTTCATTGTTTATATGAATTCATAGTATAATCAAGCTGTTAGACAAGTGGAAAATTTATCAAACTAGTTGCTTTCAATCAAAATGTTTTCACCATAAACAAATTTTCACCTTTAAATATGTATGAATGGGTGGAATTCGATGAGGTATAATAAGCTACTGCTCAACATGAATCTACGTAGTAAAGCGAATAGATCAGTTGATGGAGGCATTGGATTACACTTTAGAGATGATAATTCAAGTTATAATCCATAAGTGATGGAAACTAAAGTAGGATTGAATTAAAGAAACATCAAGTGTGGTCGAACCAAAATATGATACCAGCCTCTGGAATTAATGAATGATAGTGTGAAGTAGTAGATTTCTATTGTAAATTCAATGTATCAAAAACTAAATGTATTTTGGAAATAAATGAACTGCACTTAAACTCTCAATGTGGAAAGCATACAATTAGGTTAGCTGATTAGCTACGATGATCGTGGATGCGTACTGTTAAGGAGACCCACAATAAAAGGAAACCATCGTCCAGTGCTTCCAGGTTTTTCTATAGTAATATAGCTTCATGATCTCAACCATTGAAATTACGATGATATCCACAAAAAAACCCTTCTGATATGAGTCATTGATAATCAAATTAGTAACTGTTGTCTTAACTACACAGTTTAAACATTAATACACCTAAATCTTGGCTAATTATAAGTCACAGAATCTGGTCAATTATGTTATGTGTGATTGTACTATTGTAGACTACTTTCAAAATACTGTGAAATTTAACTACTTATTTTATTTCAGTAGCTTACTTTACCTATACTGAATCTCAGTATAGGGTTGTGGAAATTATCAAGTTTTTGATTGAGATCACGAACCAATTGATGTTAAACCACCATTGAAAGCTTGGAAGCACTGGACAGCCATTTCTTCCTATTGTGGGACTCCTCAGCAATAAGCACCCACGATCCCGCGAGTGGGATTTTTAATAGTGGTCTAACATCAAACAGTTCATGATCTCAGTCAAAATACTGAATCTCATTTTAATATGTATCTGTGTAATATCATAAGATCATAGGATCACATATTTATTTGGATGTTGGAATGTATTAGTTAACGTGTGTACATACAATGTACGCATCTGTTCATTCATACAGATATATATTCCATCGACTCATTGTCAATGAACTGAGTAAATTCCATTTCTCAGAATCTATTTAGTTTATATCTGTTATGGAATTCTATATAACTGAATTTTCAATAAATTTTAATAAAAGAAATATGCATTTATTGAAGTAGGTCTACATATATGACATAGTGGAGATATAATCTCTCATATTAAATATGATGATTGTTAGAAAACATGTGACTAATAAGGCTCATTATAAATATATTAATTTATATTACGCATATATAATTAACTATATGAAGCAATAACATAGCAACTAAAATACTCAGTTGTCAACCATAGAGTATAAAATACGAACCCAATGTAACTTTATTTACATTGGACAATTGTATACTTTACTGAATTCACAAACAGATAGATAGGTAAACACACAAAAAATGTATGATTTAAAGAAGGAAATATAAAGCTATGGGTGATTATGAAGTTGTATTATATACTAACACGTATTACATTCCACTCGTATTTACGCATTTAGTTTCAAACTTTAAGTATTTATCTTATGAAAAACAATTGTTTTTTAAGCATCTATGCATCCTGTGATATAATTTATTTATTTGAACACATAAATATTAGTACAAAGGGGTACCGAATATAAATGCGCCACACAAGTCACTTGATTTGTGTCTGGGCTGTGATACTACCCAAGTGCTCACATGGTTTTCTTAGGGGGCCACACCCGGAGCTTTCAATCTAAAGGTCCGATCCACAAGGCAGAGGAACAGCGTCAAGGGATGCAGTCACATGGTAGCCAGTGACAAATAATTCGTTCCATCAGGATCCTGGGGCCCATGTTCACCATTGGTTTGGAATGAGGGTTTTCCAACTCCCCAATATGGACTCTCTGTGCCCACCGACCACCGACTCGCTTTTCGTCCTCTCAATTTCGTAAACAACAGTAATGCCACGAGAAGGCAGGGAATATGACTTCCCCGGCAGTGGTTGTATGCATGTGGTCATATGAAAGTATTTCGAGAGGGACGTATCAGTGTATATAACCGAAAGGATTATTATGATAGTAGCGAATAAATTATATAGAAAAGTAACCTTATATCTTAACTGGTCACTGTAAAGTAAAAAGACAATATATATGACCAGAAGTAATTGAAAGTAATTACAATTTATCACAGTACTACTCTACGTATACTATTTTAACTAGCCCAAATTTATAATACAGAAGTTGTTGGATAATTTACCCTGGTTGATATTTAATTTATTTGAGAAACTATTCGTTCAAATCTTGGTGAGAACTCATATAGATCATTTTTGACGGGTTGTGTGCATAAATACAAAGTATATAGTCAGACATTAACACCGTTGAACACCGGCTTAGTGGTTTAGAGGTTAAGGGTTCAGTTCGAATCCCACAAGTGAGATGGTGGATACGCATTTCTAAGGAGTCCCATACTATTGCGAATCGGCCGTACAGTGCTTCCAGGTTTTTCATAATGGTCTAGCTTCAATTGACTCATCAATTCAAATAATAGAATAAAGAATTTCTAAAAAGAAAACAAGACAAACGAACATAAATATAATTCTCACTGACCATAATTGGTTGATTTTCTTCAGGTGGTGGAAAGTTGAATTCTTCATCAACTTCCGTATCAGGTGTACTAGTTCGTGCAGGAACACCAGCTGCTGTTGTTGTAGTAGATACAGCATCATCTAAAGAAATAGTACCAGATTGTTGTTGTCGATCTTCATCTGAAAAATACCATAAACAATGTGTTAGGATAGAACATAAAGAAAGAAATAAACTAAGACAAACAATTTCCAAGAAACGTATTAATATTTGAAAGCCAATGCAATATGCGAACATACAAGAACATACGATATTCACGCATATAACCGACGTGTAGAAGATGGAAAAAAACTAATAGTCTACTACTTCGACTGTAATAATAACAGATAGATAGTATAATCAACATTCTAACACTATTAACCCCTTATTATTATATACATTAAAACATCCTTATGAAGTTGACAAATATTATTCAATTTGTGTATTCGTACTGTAATTAATGGTGCACATGGGCTCCAGAATCCTGAAGGAACAAATAGTATATGAACCAATTATTAGTGACCGGTGACCAGGAGACTGCATCTCCTGACGTTGCTCCACTGTCTTGTGGATTAGACCTTTAGGTCAAAAGTTTCGGGTGCGGCCTCCCTACAAAAACCACCTGTTTCGGTTTGGGCACCCGGGCCGTGTCCCATCTCTCACAGAAATCGAATGATTTATATGGCGTATATCTATTTGATGCTTCCTCGTACCAATGTTTATGTTTTTAAATAAATAAATAGTTACCATGACAATAGTCATGATAACAGTAATAACGAAGACTTCAAGAAGGTTTATTATCAAATAATGATATACACATAATAAATGTAACAGCATTTCACAGGAAAGATAAAAGCAGTGCATGTTTACTTGTTTTTCATATCAGACAAAAACAACTAACAGAAATCATCTCAATCTTTTTTTAACTGTCATGCAATCAAATGAACAAACACTGGTACTAAAACAAACGAGAGAGAGAGAGGAGGAGGAGGAAGAAGAAGAAGAAGAAGAAAGGAAAACTGATAGAAAAGATAGAAATGATCCTTAAAGTGATTATTGTGCACAAGATCAAGAACATGCGTATCTATCCCAATGATATTCAACAAAAAATATATACCTGTACATAAATAATCATTATTTTGTTTCATTGTTAAATAAGTATTTATGTTTTCAGTTTGATGATGATAATGATGTTTTGAATGGTTATGAGGATGATAGTGATGATTTTGTTGTTGGTAAGGGGGTGATGGTGGTGAATGTAGATTATTATTACTATTATTATTAGTATATTGCCCAGGTGAGTATGCTTGATGAAGTGGACTGGATTGCTGATATGAATGTGTAGGCGATGAATAAGGTTGTTGATGATGATGACTAGTAGTAGTGATATGTTGTTTTTGATGATGTGGCAGTGGTGGTGATGATGGTGAATGATGAAGAGAATTAGATAATTTAATTTCGTACACAGGTTTATGATGATAATGTGATGTATGATAAATGTAATCATTACTATTATTATTGTCAATATATGAATATGGTATATGAGAAACATCTAGAGAATAGCAAAGAAATGAAGTGAAGATGGATGGATGGAGAAAAATATAGATACTATTCACTTTGAAATAAAGTACAATAGACACCGAGATTTAGTATGAAATATATGGTACATCGATATCATACACCATGAATAGCTAACTATCAAATAATTTCATTATAAAAGGAAGGTAATGAACTGATACTTGAAATATAAGTCCCTTTATGAATCACATGTTACGTTTGCGTTGGTGAGATATCTCATTTGAAAATGAATGACCGAGTATACTGCGTAGCATTTCTCTCTAGTTTACTAAATGCCTATAAAACACGGGCTATAAAAGTATAAGATATTTGTAAGTCACTATTATTTGACAATAGGTATTTGACACATTGAATACGGAGACAATGTATACGGGTATCGGGAAAAGATGACAAATCGATTAATAACATTGTGAAGCTTCATTGACTCAAGTGTTTAAGATATGCATTACGTAAACTCAATAAGCGTCTACATCAATGCTCCAAACAGTCTGGTGAATGAATAGGTTGGAACAAGTCTAGTAGTTGTCAAATCAAAATGTGATATTAGCCCATGAAGTTACTGAGTATTGACTAGTCTCGTAGAAAGATGTAGACTATATTCCCTCTTTGTCTATGGATAGATCATACAAATAGATAAACTATACAATAAAAAACAATCGTTTATTAAAGAGTCCGTCAGTTTCACTGTAGGATCAGGCACACACATATGCATTGGTCCGAGTTGCCATACCGCATTAGCACGACAAGATAAATACCAAATTCATAGAAATAGTTACTTCAATAGTTGTAATGTATAAAAGAAAAATTGTGTGTAAGGATATAGTACAGGAAGAAAGAATTAGTTAGTAGAAAGAAAGATATGAAATGATTTTAATCTCTTAGTTTAGGGAAGACAGGGAGTGTATACACCGACGCCATTGTGATCGATTCTGAGCCATGTCACACAGTCTCCAACCATTGTAACACAAACTAGGTAGTCTGCATCTACCAGCATAGCTCAGACTAGAAGTTAATGACTTCAAAGACTGGTGCCACGTCTTCATTTGGCCACTAGTTTAACAAAGAGAATTTGTATTGAATACAGGTAATTCTCAAGGTCAGAGGAAAAGAGGAAGACCAAAGAACACATCACGCCGGGAAATGGAGATAGATATGAGAAAAATGAACAAGAATTGTATGGAACTAGAAAAGAAGGCCCAGGACAGAGTGGGTTGGAGAATACTGGTCGGCGGTCTATGCTCCATTAGGAGTAACAGGTGTATGTAAGTAAGTAAGAGGGGCTTGTCAAAATATTTGTTGGAAAATAGTGTTTATAAAATTGAATTCAATCATTTATTATATAACAACTAATCATACTAAAATAATAACAAAGGAAAGAATACGGATCAATAAAAATGATCCAATGAACTACATAACTGTTACTTAGAATATGATCATCAACAAACAAAATAAATAACATATAAAAGGAAATTTAAAGAGAATACTTCGGAAGTACTTACCTGTAATTGATATTTCTTGCATTTCTCGAAGAGGAATTGAAGGTGTTGTCTCTTTAATAGAAGCGTGTGATGATTTAGATGATGAGACACTATTGTTGTTATTATTATTATTATGTATATTATTACAGCTATTACTACTAATACTTGTACTTGTACTATTAATTCCATTTTTATGTATGGATACTGGACGATAATGTTCATGATAATAATTAATAGGATTATTAAATGATGGACTAACAGCTTGTTTTACTGAATTAACAGCAGTTAATAAATTACGATTTGATAAACGCCATTGATCATGCATACGTGGATCTTCAATATTTGTTACTAAACCTTTAGCATCATTTACCATTGGTGTGATAGCTATTGAAAAAAGGAAAAGTAGAAGTGGTGAGACAAGGCACATATATGTATCGGTTTAAGTTCCCATACTTCAATAGAACAACATGAACAACACCAAATTCATACAAGTAGTAAATTCATTGGTAGAAATTTATGAAAGAAAGATTGCATCTACACCTACGACATTGTGATCGATTCTAAACCATGTCACACCCAGTTACTAACCATTGGTTACGATAGTCACGCGGAACTCAACCAAGTAGTCTGTATCCACCAACATGGTTCAGATCAGAAGTTAGTGACTTTTTATTCACTGATAAAGTTTCTAACTGAACGCTTGAATTTGTCTTCTAAATTCTCTTATAACCACCAGGCTAAGTCGACACAACAACTTGATCATGAGAAAAAAGGAGCTAAATGTGGAAAGAACTCTTTAATCCAAGGTTCGTTTATGGACAGAAAGTTTAAGGTATTTATAGCATTTTTAGACGGCCTTAGGTTTCGAGAACGCTACTAACCACAGTAGCATAATCAGAGATGTAACACGTGACTCTTCACTTTCTAGATGTCTCCAAGATACTGCTATTCAATGCTTTTCGAGGAATTTTCCGGGTTTCCCCAACACTCACTATGGGACATAATTTCAGATCGATATTTTTATATCAGTTAGGTATGAATTTTGTTCAACATGAAAGGCGTGAAATTTCGTTTGGTGTGACAATCATATTTTTTTATTATCTTCTATGTAGTTTCACAGGTAACCCAGTGTATCTTTTTACTTATATGATGTTTATGAACTAATCTTCAATTATACATCACTGTATGAACAGGTCTATTCAGTTTGAATGAGGACAACTTATTTTTGATGTGATTTAGAGAGTTAATAGATCTTTATTTTCACCAGTCACTTGTGTTCTCACAATGCGTTGCAGGAATTACAGTGTTCCTATTTTCCGAGTCGCTTATTGGTATATGTGCATCCCGTCCAGATTGCCTCTATGTTGCCAGTAATTCATGAACATTTTAGACAGAAATAGATAGTGGCTATCAATAGGGTCGATGATGCGCATTTCGTCCTATTCTGGACTCGTCAGCTGGGTGAACCTGCATCCCAGAATTAATGTTTACTCTAGGACTTGGAATTCACCTCATTGCCGCTGCCTTGATTCATTAGCTAACTGGATAGTGCGATGAATTTTGAAGTGCAGGTTACTGGGTTCGAGTCTGGGAATGAATACCAACTCTGGAATCTAGATAAATTCAGCTAACCAATCCTAACTAGGACGAAACGAGCATCCTAAATTCTACTTCTAGCCACCATTCACCACACTATTCAGTTAAGTCATTCATGAAGATTCAGCAAACATTAAGGCGGCATACTTTATCCAACTTAAGTGAATAGAATAGTTGCATAATTTAGAACTATAATTTCATCAATAGTGCAAACAACTACTATAAGCTATATGGCTATGTAGAGCTGAAGGTCTCATATGAGACTAGAGGTTCGCCATTGGTAATGTGGATAGTTCGGCACTAATTTGGCAACTTTTGCTGACTGTTCATGAACAAAATTGGTTTCCTGGGTAACCGATTTCATTCATACTGGTGATTACTTTCCAGTGCTCTCAAGGGCCATTGTAAGGCATGTCGCCATTGCTAACATTAATAAGTTTGACTGTCGTGTAAGCGGAATAGGTCAACTTTGACCTATTCGTGCTGTGTATAATTGATTCACGCGATCATTGATCGGAATAACTATACATGTGATGTGAATGTGTATATGAATGGTGCGAATGGTCCACCAGGGTGTTTGGTACCTGTGTGGTTGCGCCAAAGGATTGTACTGTTGAGCTGTACTATTCAGACTGTAGCGTTAAAGCCTATACGGTGTCTGGTTGCCCCTGCTAAACGGGGATGAGCTGTACTGTTTGGGTTTTTATGTGAAAGTCCAGATGGTGTCTAGTTCTCCTGAAAACCAATGTAAAATTACCCTGGCCCACAAGGGTATATTACATAACTGTGAATAACTGCAAACAACTACTGAATCTAATAGGAAATATAAATAATGCGTTATATCAGTTTAATGCTAAACTAATATGTATATATGTATATATATATACTACAGAAAGGTTTTATTCCGAAATGACATAACTTGAAAAACAATTATGGTGAGATTTTCATGTTAAAACTAGAAAAAAAACAGCCTTATAAAACTACATAACTAATGTTTAGTATATTATTAATGTTTCCATCAACAGTGAAAAATAGGGTGTACATTTTGTCCTTTATTTAGGACTTTTCAAATTGCATATATATATGTCGGCATCCCAGTGTTTATTATATAGTGAGACTCGAACCCAATACTTAACTAAATATTATATACATGTATACATATATTCGTGATATAATAAATAGTATTGATTTTTTTTTTGGTTTTCAATGAATCAGCACAGTACGTGCTAAAAGTAATTAAAGGAACAAGGAAAAGCCACACAGGTAAACACACAGATACGAATATATTTATTCATTCAAAAGAAAAGAGAGAGAGAGAAAAAAAATTTGGTAGCGAGGTGATTAATTATCACCACTCCGGACATAGATATACATAACGGTAACATTAAGGTACATGAACATACACAATCACCGGAACAAATTTTATCTTATAATAACAACAAAATGTACAATCTTTAATATACGTTGCAGACATATGCCTACCTGCCTACCTACATACATACATATATATAAACGCACACTCAAACACAGACGCTTATTAATGATGTACAAGAAGTGAAATCAGTTAAGAGAGAGAGAGAGAGAGAGGGAGAGAGAGAGTCTAGAAATGTGAAATGTTTTATTTGTTTGGAAATAAAAGAGGTAAGTAAACCACAACAAGGTTTAGCTGAACAACAATACGGATTATTTTTTCTTCTTCTTAATATCATAAAATTTCTACTAGATAATATTTTAGTACAATGGATTATAATGTTTTTGGACTTCATTTGGATTATAGTTACTAGTCAATGTTTACAAGGATTTCAAAAGCAGATGTAATATAATGTAATTCATTTACCAAAGATGTATTTATGTAACCAGATATGAGTAACACTTTTATGAGTGAGATTAAGTGATATTACACAAGCCCGGTGTAAAAATCTAAGTAGAATGGGATTCGAATCTGAGGTGGAAATTGAACACCCTAAACACTAAACTGTTGTCACACACCAAAGTGGAAAAGTTGTTACGAACCAGAAACAGTCGAATGGTTGTAAATAACTAAAGAAAGCTACATCTTGAACAAACATTATTACAAACTGGTAAACGTTATGTAGAAAATAGGTCACTGAATTGGCACATACAAGACGCGTACCGCTTCAACCTAATTGTAGTTTCATGCGATTAATATGCCATCGACTAAATATAACTAGTAGCCGGAGTGATGTCATAAAGATGGACCAAAACTTGTTAATAATAATGATCTTTGCAACAAAGGAGACAAGTTTTCTGAGGGGATACATCATAATGAATGCGCACATTGTATTGAAAAGAATAAGAAATTTCTTGAGCAAGTAATACTTTAAAATAGGTGCAAAGCAGGCAGATACACAAAACGTGTTGTCCGTTGAACTACTAAGTCCAGGTACCCATTAAACTTTGATTAGTTTTAACTGACATATTGTAGTGAACGAGAAGTCAGGTAGGGATAACTAATTTATTATTCAATGCAAAATCATCGAGTTCTTTCGTAAAATGTGAAAAACTATGCATTAAATACTTCATTTGAAAATCTTTCATTAATTATCTCAAACTTTATCGTCCCTTCATTGCTATAACAACTATTCTCTGTTTACATGCCCGTTCTCTTTAACTCGATCTTTTCACCCTTTTGCTACCAGGCGTTCCACTTTTGCTTGATGTTACATATTACATATGTCGACAAACATAAGTGGGATAGCGAAGAATATTTGTAGCTCAGGTGGATGATTTTGATGGAGTTTTGTTCTCTGTGCTGGATAGTTTAGTCGTGGAGCTTTCATCGACCAAACCATCCAGCTCAGAGAATAAAACTCCATCAAAAACAAACATAAGTAGCATACACCACAATACATACATCTCGTGAGGATTTACCTGGATGTAGTCATTGTAAAAAATTCCCATAAAATAGATGAAATGTAAATAACAGAGAAATCTAGGTCGTTTATCTCGTTTTATTTGGGATTCACAAGCTGCGAGCTATAATCCATTTATAAAATATGTGACATTGGTAATATCAAAGAGATCCTAACAAAACGCACATCAATCACTAAAGATTAATCGAAATCCAGTCTTAAATATAGACAACGAACACGACGAAACCAAAATGCTCAATTCTAATATTAAGCACAATTCAACTATCATTTAGGAATAAACAGTTATTCAATGGTTTCAAATGATTTTGCATTAATAGCGGTTTGTGACAAGAATTATCTTTCAATGTCTACAAGTATTATTAGGTGAATAATTTACAAGCTTCTTTATGTTATCCGTGGACCGTAAGAAAAATTGACGGTCATTGACTGTTCGGGTTCAAAATGATGAACAACAGATCGTTATCTTATTATCCTAATTTGAAATTATAAAAGCCTTTTTCGAAATACATAACATAAACAAAAAGAAAAACCATATGTATTATATAACACTTACTTGATCGTAAAGCCTTCACAGCATCGTTCATTCGATCAACATACAATGGATCTTCGCTATTATCTGCTTCTCGTGTGATTAATTGAAGTACACGATTTGCTCGTCGTGCAATACGTGTTGTAGATTCAACTACACCAGTTGTTGATATTGCAGCAATACTATTTTCTGTTTTGGCCGAATCACGTAACATTCCAATCTCTGTAGTATTCAAAGTAGAAAGTGTAATTTAAATTGAAAAGACTCAAGTTGATGCATATTATACAACAATTGTAGTACAAATATGAGCGGAAATATGGATGTAGATCAATTAACAGGATTCAAACAGCGTTGACGTTAGTTATCAATATTTAAGAACAGACTAGTGTATATATTTCATTTTAGCAGGGTCGAAATGGTTCATACAAGTAAGTCCGAAAAGAAGTTTCATCATCTCTGAACTAAAGTTACATCTTGTTTAGAAGTGCTGACAAACATGAAAACTTAATCAACGGTTTCCTGATGATTATGTTCAGTCACCTAGAGTCATAACATCTGTCTCGAGGTTGAGTCATTTATTGTAGTGCTGGCAATACTATTTGATAAACGAGATTCACTTGGGCTCTAAAGATTTAGCAACATGATTTTAAAAATCTGTGAGTGACCAATATAATCCGATGTACGATGGACAATATTGCGCGAGTCGACCTTATTTAGTGGTGCCAAATCGATGATACTATAGAGAATTTGGAAAAATAATCTATAAATCAATTTGTCACAGATTAATTTTAGTTGGGATACCAATAGAAACCAAGGAGCCCTGAACAACTGCTTCATCTTAGAACGAAACATTTTAGCAGTGCGTACCCATTACCGAGCCTAAAAGTGAACAAAGGATACTCAAATTTTGCGGATTTTTAACTATTTGAACTATTGTGACGAATATAACCTACCAATCAAACTAATTTCAGTAAAAGCCTTTTAACTAAAGCAAAGTAACTATTTAATAGGTACAATCGAATTCGTTAAGAAACCGTTAATTTAGATGCTAACGATGTCAGCTACTTCTATAGGTGACAGGTTATTAAAGCAGATATCTAAAATGCCGCGAATTTTAATGGATAATATGTGTGACTAATCTACCAGATGGGGGAAGATTTTCTATAATTATCTCCGAGAAAAGGTTTGTGTAAGGAATACTGATACACTGGTTACCTATTTGCATGGTTGGGAAATTTAACAAAGGAGTTAAAAGTTATTGTGTATATGCTATGAAATGCTGCGTGTTAAATGTGAATTGTTTATCATTCCTTCTATCAATTAAGGGAAAAGTATGCTGCGTCCTGTTAAACTCTACGGCTGTGAAACGTGGCCACTAGGAGTAGAAGATACTCGTAAGCTACTAGTATTTGACCACAGATGTCTTAGAAATATTGCTCTCATCTGCTGGGATCATCGCGTAAGTAATAGTGAGGTTAGAAACACAGTATTAGAAAATGATGGTAAATCAGTTGATGAGATTGTAAATCTTCATCGACTGACATGGTTAGGTAACGTGTTACGTATGCCTGAACACCGATTACCACGACGCGCAATGCTAGCTACAGTCGGAAGAAAGTTAGAGGCGGCCAAACCAAAACGTGGCATCAGTTCATAAAGTCACTAACTTGTAGTCTGAGTAATGTTGATAGATGCAGACTACTTGATTGCGGTCTAACAATGGTTGGAGACTATGTGACATGGTTCAAAATCGATAACAATGGCGTAGGTGTGTAAACTTCCTATCTTCCCTTAAACCGTAAAATTAAAATTGTTTTATATCTTTCTTTCTATCAACTATTACTACCATTGAATTAACTACTTCTATGAATTCAGTATTCATCTTGTTGTATTAATGAGGCATGGCTGCTTGAACCGATGCACATATGTGTCTGGTCCCACGTTGGGACTGACTGACTGACATAAGAAAGTGTCACATCTTATATGAAATATAATGTAGATATAATAATAAAAGAAATACGTTTTTGGTACATGTCTTAAATAGGATATTTATTAGAACTATTATTTTATCAAGCTAAGAATATTTGTTTTTGTTTAGTTACAGAAACATTCAAGTAATGAAAAACCAATAGCACTGAATTAAACTTAAATTTTCATTGTCAATTCCACTCGATCAAGCGATTAACAATAGATACGTATATGTAGTGATTCTAATTAATTTTCAAGTATTTAAAAAAAAATAAAAACTAATTCGAAACCTAGAAGCACCAAATGTAAGCTTCATCATATTATGGGACTTCTCAATAGAGCGCATCCATAATCCCGATTGTCGTATGTTCACTAGTAACTAGCTCCAAGATGAATTTTCTGGAGTTCTAGTGAAAATCCGTGACCAGTAGAGGTCAACCGTGTCTGTTGTGAGGCAGTTACTCATTGATGACAATACTGGACGGCCGTAAAATATAATGGATTAGTTGAAGTTATACATTAACATCGTTGGATACCGGTTCAGCGATCTAGAGATTAGGCGTTCGTCCACGAGACTGAAGGTGCTGAGCCCGAGTCCCGCGTGCGAGATTATGGGTTCATATTGCTGAGGAGTTTCACAATAGGATGAAACGATTATTCAGTGCTTCTAGGTTTTCCATGATGGCCTAACATTGATCTATTCATTATATTATTCTAAACTCAACAATCGCTACAACCCTATACTGAAATACTTATTCCCTAAAAAAATTAAACCACTGTATACATATTAAATAAATATCAAGTATTATAGCATAGATATGTTTACATCAACGAAATGTAAACATGAATAATATAGATCAAACAAATACAATGATCTAATGTGAGAAAATTATGCTTAAACGCATCACAACATATATGGATCTATGAAAGCTTATTTTCAATATAAATAAGATTTATATTAGAATAGACTTGGAAGTCTGATCAGCCCTAATGGGTTGGTGCCTGACGAAATCTCAGCACGGAATCAAAAAGCTCGCTTGGCTTTTGCCAACTTACGTCACCTATGGCGAAGGCGAGATATCCGTCTATCAATAAAAGGACGAGTATACTGCGCCGCAGTCTGTTCTGTTTTACATTACGGCAGTGAAACATGGCCATTAAGAGTAGAAGACACTCGTAAGCTGCTAGTATTTGACCACAGATGCCTCAGAAATATTGTTGGCGTCTGTTGGGATAACCGGGTAAGTAATAGTGAGGTTAGACTCAGGGTATTAGGGAATGATGGTAAATCAGTTGATGAGGTTGTGAATCTTCATCGACTGAGATGGTTGGACCACGTGCTACGTATGCCTGAACACCGATTACCACGACGCGCAATGCTGACTAGTGTTGGGTATGGTTGGAGTCACTAACTTCTAGTCTGAGCCATGTTGATAGATGCAGACTACTTGGTTGCGTTCCGTGTGACTATCGTAACTAATTGTTGGTGACTGTGTGACATGGTTCAGAATCGATCACAATGGCATAGTTGTATACACTCTTTATCTTCACTTAAACTAAGAGATTAAAATCGCCTCATATCTTTCTTTCTACGAACCAATTCTTTCTTCTTGTACTATATCCTTATTGCAATCTTTCTTTTATATATTACCACAACTGAATTAACTACTTTTATGAATCCGGTGTTCATCTTGTTGTGTTAATGAGGTATGGCAACTTGGACCGATGCATATATATGCCTGGTCCTACGTTGTAGCTGACTGACTGAGTCATTTAACTAAATATAAAGAAGTTGAATCGGTTTAAGTTGCCAAACTACATGAGTACAATGAAATGGAATTACAAAAATAAAGATCACAATATCATAAGCAGTAGTATTGTGGTGCATGCTACTTATATTGATATAAGTAGTATATAATGCGAGTCAGGAATGTAATGTCTGGCAGCAGAAGATTGGGAAGATCAAGAAAGGAAGAACGGGAACAGAAAGTAATTACTATGGAAATGTACGAATAACGAAGTTCGAGACAATTATTGAACATTTTGCAAATTAAGTATTATTGTATGGTTTTTCTATTTTACCAAGTAACTGTAATTTTGTGCTAAGTATGACTCGGTTGTGCTCACCTGTGTTCTCCTTCACTACTGTGTTACTGATAGTAATAGAGAAATAAATAATGAGATATAGGCATAATGTGACTAAAGAAGGGATTAATTTAATGAGTAGAAAATAACGTTTGAGTTCAAGGTCGAAACTTACGACTAATTCTAAGTTATATCACTTAACATTGGTGATGATAGTTACTTGGAATCAAATCAGGTAAATGTGATGCTTCGCAGCATGGTTCAGATAAAAAAAAATCAACAGTGTCATAATTTGGACACCCGTAGCTTTCCTCCAACTTGTTCTCTTATCCTGCATCAAAGTAAGGAGTAGTTAAGCATAGGATGAAACGCGTGTCCCGGATTCCACTGCTAGCCATTATCCAGCTTTGCATATGTTTGTGAATTGAGGCAATACGCACATTATGCACATATACCAATAAGATACTGATTAATGACAGTCAAGTGAATTCAAACTTCAGCCCATTACACAAGCAAGTGGCTATCAGGACTCAATAACTAAGTGGATAACGCCACGGAGTTTAAAGCAAATGCTACTGAGTTCGAGCTCCATAGTGAACATCAACTCTGAGATGCAAGTACATCCAGCTGACGAGTCCCAAATAGGACGAAACACGCTTTGTCATAGATTCCATTGCTAAACACTATCCATCTTTGCATAGTAGTTAGTCATATGTTTGTATATATCTTAACTATTTCAGTCAATGATGAAGATATACCATCATATTAACTTATTTGCCATTTATCTTAAAACTTGATGTTTTATCTCAACATTGCCTTTAATCGATAAGAAATATAACGTGCAATAAATAATACAAAATAATTGACAAAGAAAAAAACAAAACAAAAAAATAGAAGAAATTTCAATAAGGACACAGATTACTTTAACACACCATTATCTATACAATAAATAATGCACAACCTTATATTGTAAGTGTTAAACAAACTATATAATCAGGTCATAAGTTCATATTATTGAAGAGATATTATATATCTGGTTAAATGATGAGATAATAAGGTCTATAAAACAAAACAATTCGTTTATAAGTAATATAAGTAATATCTTATAAGTTGGAAATGTATTTTTTTTAAAAACAACTATGAAAACTACCATTCATTTAACTTTTTCTCGTAAGGGGAAATCATGGATGCACATAGCTGAGGAGTCCCACAATAGGTGACCAAACCAAAACGTAGCATCAGTCCTTCAAGTTGCTAACTTCTAGTCTGAGGCATGTTAGTAGATGCAGAGTACTTGGTTGGGGTCTGTGTGATTATCGTAAAAAATAGATGGAGACTCTTGGTGACATGGCTCAGAATCGATCACAATGGAGAAGGTGTATACACTCTCTATCTTCCCTTCAGTCGTGGGATTAAAATGACTATCTTTCTACGAACTAATTCTTTCTTACTGCATTATATACTTACACACAATCTTTTATATATTATTACCATTAAAGTAGCTACTTCTATGAATCCAGTGTTCATCTTGTTGTGCTAAGGAAGTATGGCAACTTGGACCGATGTACATGTGTGCCTGGTCCTACGTTGTAGCTGACTAACTGACTGATCACACAATAGGATGACACCACCGTCCAATGCTTCCAGGTTTTCCATAGTGGTCTAGCTTCAATTGATTCATGATCTCAAACATTGAAATTTTCTTAATCTGTTGAGTTTTGTAAATGTACATCCAATCGAGTGAAAAAAACATATCTACAATGTTATTTAGTCGGTTAGTCAGAATCAACGTAGGATCTTACCAAAGCTATCATATTATATTAGCCTGATGAGATCAAATGATCAAAATGATGGTGAGAAAATAGTTCAGAAAGACAGAATGATAAGGTATGAATGGATGAGAAGTGTAATTTAATATACAACGAAAGATCAACAGTGACTGATTTCACTCCACTATTAGTGGTTTCGAACCATATCATTGAACACCGCCAACCACTGATTGTGGTTCTCACACAGAACCTACTTGTAGTTTTAATAACCCTTAATACATTGTTTTGCTTAGTCAAATTGTTGCCGTCACTAATTCCAATCGTTAATAATAAAATGATTCAATTATTGAGTTGAGGTTTGTGTAGTTAACTTAAGGTCACAAACTTTTTTGTGAAACTCTTAGTAGATACACTAGGTTACAAAAGCTTGACATTGACAAGATTGTAAACCATTAGATGAACCGGATTTCCAATGAAGTGACTCATGATTATTAGATTATTATTCACTACAAACTAGTTGTCAGTAGCAGAAGAACAAATGAAAAAGATAGAGTAGTAAATTGTTGGTTTATACTAGTTTGGTACCTCTAAAACAGCATTTTAGACTTTAATATAAGAGAATAATTAATGTCATTAAGGCTTGTATTGACGATTGGAAGATATCTTTTACTAACAACGAGACTATAAGTTACGGGCGAATCAACCAGATCTAAGATAACATCTCTTCAACATTTTTGCCGACCTTATTCAGCCATGTGACAGAGCATTTTTGCATTAGAACTGATCTGAGTTTGTAATGAAAACCCTTAATCCAAATATTAAAAACTAACTTTGAACCAATTCCTAATCCTCATTACTAACCCTATTTTGAACATAATAACTGACTAAAGTTACTCAAGGTCACATTTACAAACGCTTAGGGTCATTCACAGATTATAGTCTCGTTTGACGATTTTTATGGTTATAGTAATGATCGTGCACTATTTTATTTATTTATTTAAACACATAAACATTGGTACAAGGAGGCACCAAATACATATGCGCCACATAAATCATTCGATTTGTGTGAGGGCCGGGATACTGCCCGGGTGCCCAGACCGAAGCAGGTGGTTCTCTTAGGGGGCCACACCCCGAGCCTTGGACCTAAAGGTCTAATCCACAAGGCAATGGAGCATCGTGAGGAGGTGCAGTCCCATGGTAGCCAGTGACCAACGATTGGTTCATACGCCATTTGTTCCCGCAGGATACTGGAGCCCATGATCGTGCGCTATTATTGTGACAAAAATTGCAATAATAAATGAGGATAACGAACGAAGTCAGATATTTTCATTAAATTTGATATATGGATATGAACATTTCATAAATTTCAGGTTAGTTCATGTCAAAATCGGCTGTTATGGACAAAGCTAGGTTATTTAGTTATATTTAAATGAGGAATAATTAATACAATTCTCAACTAAAAACAGATATACTACGTTATAATGGTTGGTGGCAGTAACTAGTAAAGTAGATCTGGCGACCTACAAGCAATATATCTCATGAAAAGTGATTGCTAATATAAGAAATCGAAATAAAATGACATAACAGTTTAGTACTATTGACAGATAGTCGAAAACAAGTGGTAAGAAATTCTAGATCTGATTGTGTACGGATTAGGACATAATAGAAAGTGTGTATGTGATCATGATGAAACTGGCACTATTTAATAGACTTGCATCTACACAAACTAGTGTTAAATACAGACACCTTGTTATTCATTGAGGCATTGCACTAGTGAATGAGAAGAATATAAAATCTGACAGCACTTTAAACTTGATCTCGGTCTATGCTCCTCCATGAAGGGTAACAGGCGTAAGTAAGTAAGTTAAACTTGGACTAACACTGATGAAATAAAAAATATATCTGGTACCAAAACATCAGAAACGAGTAAATACACCCACTTACATGACGCAACATAAACTCTCTCTGATTTCACTATGTTCAAAGTCATAACTTAGTCAGTGAGCTACAACGTAGGACCAGGCACACACATATGTATCGGTTCAAGTTACCACACCTCGCTCATTAGCACAACAAGATGAACACCAAATTCACAGTAGTAGTTACCTCAATGGTAGTAATACATAAAAGAAAGATTGTGTATAAGCATATAGTACAGGAAGAAAGAATTAGCTCGTAAAAAGAAAGATATGAAGGACTTTAATTTCATAGTTTAAGTGAAGATAGAGATTGTATACAACTACACCATTGTGATCGATTCTGAGCCATGTCACCCACAGTCTCTAACCATTGGTTACGATAGTCACGCGGACCCCAACCAAGTAGTCTGCATCTATCAACATGGTTCAAACCAGAAGTTAGTGACTTCTAGCACTGATGTCACGTTTTGGTTTGGCCTCCCCTAACTTTCTTCCAACCTTCTACAACCCTAGTCAGCAGTGCGCGTCGTGGCAATCAGTGCTCAGGGATACGTAACATATGACCCAACCATCTCAGTCGATGAAGATTTACAACCTCATCAAATGACTTACCACCATTCCCTAGTACCTTGCATCCAACCTCACTATTACTTACCCGGTGATCACGGGTATAGCAAATTAAATAAATGCATCATTGTGTATCAGATCACAGTTATTTAACATACAACTTATAACAACTGGATTTTAACACATGAGTAATGATTAAGTCATGAAACAATAAGTAATCAATTGTTCTGAATTACAAAGTCCAAAGAACATTTGATATGTATAAGTGCAGATATCGATCTGGTAATATTAACAATGCATACTGACATAACTCAACTTACCTTGAGCAGCTATGAATGCATTAGCATCAACAGCTTCATCAACTAATGCTCTCATACGTTCAGCAGTATCTGTCCAATGTTGACGCATCATAAGAAAATGATCTGATGTAGCTTGTTTCAAACTAGCTCCACCAGGTTGTAATTGTAAATTTGGATCAGCTGATAGGATAACTGCACGACCAGCTAATACAACTTGTGCACCTAATTCATTAAGTTGACTAGTTAAACAACGTAATGCATCAGAACGCCATACATCGGATAATTTTGTAGCTGCAGCTAATTCTCCAGTATTGACAAGTTGATTACATTGAGTCTAATATAAAGTAATACAATTTATAAGTGAATATATTCTTAGATCAAGAAGTTGTATTATAAGAAAATTAAATATACGGAATTACAAAACTACAGTTTTGTTGTTGTGGTGGTGGTCTAGCATCAACTGACTCATGATCTCAACTGTTGAAATTGCTACAATCTCCACAAAACCCCTTCTGATATTAATCAACATATGCTCACTAGTGACTGGCTTCAAGATATATATATCCTGGAGTTCTAGTGAGAAGCAGTGACCAGTTGAGTTCAACCGGGTCAGTTGTGAGGTAGTAACTCACTGATGACAATGGTGGATGTGTCGCTCAATTTCATGGATTAGTTGAAGTTAGACATTAACAGCGTTGGATACCGGCTCAGTGGTTCAGTTGGTTAAGCGCCTGGCGCGAGACTGATAGGTCCTGGTTTCGAGTCTCGCGAGGAGGGGTCGTGGATGCGCATTACCGAGGAGTCCCACAATAGGACGAAACGGCCTTCCAGTGCTTTCAGGTATTCCATAGTGGTCTAGCTTCAATTGACTCATGATCTCAACTGTTTAAATGACTACAATCGCCACAAAACCACTTCTGATACCAAAACTCTAGGCATTGGATAGTGTTCTAAGAAAGAACAACGCAGAAGAATCATCAGACATTTATCATTTATTATAATAACAAATAAAAACTCTTGTTTCTTGGAGTTGATCAAATAATTAAATTAGGTAAAAGTAACCGTTCATAATTCAAAGAATTACATAACCATCAAAGCTTATTTACTATTCCAAGAGATACTAATGTGTTAAATAACTTAATAATAAAATTAATCTCTTAGGGAAGTTGAAGTAAGTTATCAATACATACATCAATAAATACAATATGGACACCTGATTAGTATCACTAGCCCACAGAAGTGGAGTACAGTTCGAAGCTAAGCATACGAATATGTACTTGATAAGGGAGTCAAGAAAACCTCCCGCTTAAAAAAAACTAATTAGACGCATCACTAACTGTCACACTGTGTGCCTATTTATTTATTTATTTGAACACATAAATATTGGTACAAGAGGGCACCAAATACATATGTGCCACATAAATCATTCGATTTGTGTGAGGGCTGTGATACTACTGTCCGGGTGCCGAAATCAAAGCAGATGGTTTTCTTAAGGGGATACACCCAGAGCCTTTGACCTAAAGGTATGATCCACAAGGTGGTGGAGCAACGTAAGGAGATGCAGTCCCATGGTAGCCGGTTATCAATAATTAGTTCATATGCCATTTGTTCCTTGAGGATACGGGAGCCCATGTGGACCATTGGCTTTGAATGAAGGTTTTCCAACTCCCCTAGGTGGATCTTCCATATCCACAGACCCGGTATATATTGTAGACATTCGCTTTTCGTCCTCTCAAATTCGTAAACAACAGTTATGCCGCGAGAAGACAGTGAGTAGGACTTCCCTGGCAGTGGCTATATACGCATGATCATGTGAGAGTATTTTGAGAGAGAGAACTGACTCTCTCTAAACTCGGCTGTACCAGGGCATTTGGGGGCATTTTTAAGCTCATTTTATTTCTATATCTAAGCTCTGGTAATTATATTCGCTCATACTATTGAAGTAGTCATTATTTATAACTTATTCTATCAATTATGATCATTTTTATATATAATTCGTACAAATTCTTTTCCATCTATTACCTCTAATAAATCTATACAGTAATATAATCTTCTATCATTAATAGTTGAAAAATTCTTGACAAACACATTAAACCTATTCTTACATTTGTTTATCTTAAAATAATTTTGATTGTCAATGAATAACAAGAGAAATCTGTTATGATCAGTCAAGAAGATCATGATGACGACGATGATGATGAAGAAGATGTAGTATTAGTGCCCCCAAATGCCCTGGTACGGTCGAGAGTCCGCTCTCCCTCTCGAAATGCCCTCACATGGCCACACGTATATAGCCTCTGCCAAGGAAGTCCTACTCACTGCCTTCTCGTGGCGGGGGTGTTGTTTACGAAAATGAGAGGACGAAAAGCGAATGTCCGGCGCTTTACCCAGATTCCAAACTGATGGTGCACATGGGCTTCAGTATCATGAGAGAACAAATGGCGCATGAACCAATTGTTGGTCACCGGCTACCATGGGATTGCATCTCCTTACGATGCTCCACTGCCTTGTGGGTTAGACCTTTAGGTCAAAGGCTCTGGGAGTGGCCCCCTAAGAAAACCACCTGCTTCGGTTTGTGCACCCGGGCAGTATCACAGCTTTCACACATATCAAATGAGATTTGTGTGGCGCATATGTATTTGGCGCCTCCTTGTGTCAATATCTATGTGTTTAAATAAATAAATAATAAAGAAGTAGTAGTATTAGAAGAAGAAGAAGAAGAAGATAAACACAACAACTTATTCATCACTTGATTTACCTATAACTATAAATGATTACTAAACAATATACATCTAAAGTAAACAATTGAATCTAACTTATATAGATAAATAAACAAAACTAGAAATAAAATAGAATACAATATAATTTGTAAGAAACTAATCTTATTTCTTCCAAATTCTAGATTATATTATAAATTATTAAATCAAAATATAAGAATTCTGAAAGAAAAACAAACAAAAAAACACAACAACAATCACTGAAGTTATCGTAATGATTCAATGAATCACAGGGAGAGATCATCAGTACTTCAAGAAGAAGATATGGCATATGTCTTGATTAAATGATATGCATGTTACCATAGTAATGTGAATTGGATAAAAATGACATTGATTAATGTATTAATAGTGATATCATTATTTGGTTGATTTATTTGTCTTGTTTTTGTTACAAAAAGAGCACAGAATATCGATAATAATTAAGAGTTAAATAGATTGTAACATTGAAATAATGAAGCATAACTTTGATGATAAAGATTTATTGTTTAATATCAGTAGGAGTTTATTTTGTGGATCGTATAGTAATTTCAATAGTTAAGATCATGAGTCAATTGTAGCTAGCCCATTATGGAAAACCTGAGAGCACTGGAAGGCTGTTGTGGGACAGCTCAACAGTGAACATCCGCGATCTCGCCTAGTGAGATTCGAACCCAGGACCTATCAGTCTCGCATGCGAGCGCTTTAATACTAGACCACTGAGCCGACCGGCATCCAACGGAGTTAATGTCTAACTTCAAAGTTTATTGAATAAGATATCCAGATAGAAAATACTATTCGAAATTGTAACATGATTATTGAAATATTATATTTGATATTTGACTAGTAGTGAATTACAAAAAAGCGTTCTTCGTCCTGTTACGGTCTTTTCAGATGGATACACTTGTTAAATCTCAGTGATGATGTTCAGATGAAGACTTTGGTTTGATACCTTACAATCCAATCAACAACACATCCACTAAGGTATACTATAATTTGTGACTAAATGCCATGTCGAAGCAATCCGTTAAGGATGCAAATATGACAATGGAGAGTAATCAATAGTAGTCCTAAATATCAACATTGGGAAATCACTCACCTTTACTAGTCAATTATTAACAGTTAAATGATTAAATTACTAGACCATAAATCATAGAAGACACTAATGTTCACGATCCATCCTCATTTATAATATGAACTCAAGATATATTCCAAGTAACCTTCAGTCATACAGATTGTTGTATCCCGGGTTTGCATATTTTAGTCAAAATGAATGAATAAAAAATATATATCATGGATAAATTCAGGATATTAAACTTAGCGTCAGTCATAATTTGTATTCGGGTTTCAGGATAATGAAAGACATTACTGTAGGTTGTATCTGTATAATGAAACTTATTTACTTTACAGTGGGAGTATACACACAAATAAGAGCAATAAATATTGACCCATGAATGTACTTTATTTATTTATTTATTTTAACACATAAATACTGGTACAAATGGACACCGAATACATATGATCCACACAAGTAACTTGATTTGTATGTAGGCTGTGATACTACTCGAGTGCCCAGACTGAAGCAGGTGGTTTTTTCAGGGGACCACAACCGGAGCCTTCGACCTAAAGGTCTGATCCACAAGGCAGTGGAGTAACATCAGGAGACGCAGTCCCACGGCAACCGATCACCAATAATTGGTTCATACTTAGTTTGCCCCCTCAGAATACCGGAGCCCATGTGCACGATTGGTTTGGAAAGTGTTTTCCAACTCCCCTAAGTGGATCTTCCATATCCACCAGCTCGGTTAAAGTGCCGGACATTCGTGTATTTAAACCACATTTAATGAACAGGATTTTGAATCTATAATATGTCCTGTTTAAAGTTGAATACTTCATAACTAGTAAATTATCGGCTTCATACAATTAGTATGTGTAATTCATAGTTTGTAGATTTAATTTACACTTACTAGAAATTCTTTCATTTTCACATTGTAATCATTTTGATCTGGTAAATTACCAGATGATGGAGATGCAGATTCTACTAATTGACGTAATGGTCCAACAAGATCTGTGTAGACTTCAGCAATTTGTCTTGTTAATAATTTCTCTAATGTTTGCCATATATATGCCAAACTACGACTGATAGCCATTGCTAAATCTTGTTGACTGATTTCATTTTCTGCCGCTGATAATTTTATACAGAAAGAAAAAAGAACAAACAAACAAACATAAAAATTGTCGAATGATGCAATCAAATCAAAAGTGTTGTAAGATAAAGGAAAAAAGCTTTGATATCATCCAACTACTTGTAAAACAAACTTACCGTTCAGTGGTTGAAATACTAAACTTACAACTAAGGCGTCCATAGTTCTCGTCATGAACTGACATCATATGAAGCAGCAACAGAAAGTTATTATTCAATTATAACTAAAAAATTACTGAGTATTTATCAATGTCGTGTATGTCCAATCCTAAATCCTGATCAAGTCCTATCAATCAAATTCAAATGTGACCACCGATCTAAGCATCAGCATCACATCCATGATGTTGGAATGTTCTGAGGTTGGCAGGAAGTGCTGAAACTATGTTTTATGTTAATTGCCGTTTGTTAGCAAAGTGACCTGTTATCTTGGAGGAACTGATTTAAAGTGAGCGATTCGAACCCGAGTCACATAGACAAGTAACCATGCTGAAACTTCATTGATAGAATCCCATCAGCACCAAGGACTAGACAAACATGACATTTGTCACTGATTAGTGATCAATCGGTTGCAAATATGTCAGTCCTACGTGGGGTCAGTTGCTGCCTGAAACGTTTGGTGGTCAAGTCTCAGATTGTGGAGCTGGGTGGTGTTTGATTAGATCCTACTGAGAACATCAGATTCCTTAAGATTTTACATAACTAGCAAGAAAATTAGGTCTAAAGTATCCTGCTGATTATATACAATCAATTATAAGCTAAACTATCGTTCGATAGTTGAAATATAGAACTTCCATCCAACAGGAATCGACATCACATTCGGATAATCAATGAGGGGTATCAGATCATATGGTAAACTATTTTGTTCTAACTTGAGACCTATATTCAATGAAGTTTATCATTGGATTTATACATTTAAAATTAAACGTTATATACATATATTGACTGAAACCATGTATCAACAATAATGCCACTTCGAACACCAACATGTTCCGCGAAGAATATAAATTCAAATGGTTTTTTCAGCTTCTTTTTTTCCCTTGTATATAGTAAGTGAACATCAAAATAATTGCTGACGATCGAATAACGTGTGCAAATAATGATTGAATAATCTAAATAGGTTTGTTTATTTAATTGGACACATTAATATTGGTACAAAGAGACAGTGAATACAGGTCAGTTGACTTGTAGGTGGGCTGTGATACTGCCCAGGTGCCCAAACCGAAAAAGGTGATTTTCTGAGGGGACCACACCCTAAGCCTTCAATCTAAAAGTCTGGTCCACAATGCAGTGGAGCAACATAAGAAGATGTAATCACATGTTAGCCAGTGACAAACTATTGTTTCATACGCTATTTCATCCTTCAGGATCCTGCAACCGATGTTCACCATTGGTCTGGAATGAGGGTTTTTCAACTCTCATAGGTGAACCCTACACGTATCCACTAACCCGTTTAAAATGCCAGGTATTCGCTTTTCGTCCTCTCAATTTCGTAAACAACAGTAATGCCACGAGAAAGAAGTGAGTAGGATTTCCTCGGCAATGGCTATATACTCGTGTCCATTTCGAGAGGGAGAGCTATCTCTCCCCACCTTCAAGCCATATCTGGGCATTTAGGGGCTAAATAGCGATATAAGCAAATTAAAATGTTAATAAAAGATTATCATTGTTATTTTATACACTATCAATAAATCAATATTAACAAATAGAGAGTTATTTTCAAAACCAAAATGTACTTTTGATCTCTTATTTAGTTTTTAGGAAAATGTAAACTATTTAGATTGATCATATGATAACAACATTTACATAGTGATTAATTAGATCAACTGTTTTATGGTATTTACATATGAACAATACCCACGTATATATTTTATTATTATTCTTACCAAATTTTGCTAATTAATAATGCCATTCATTTTTCACATCATTTTAATTTGTTTGGGATCATGAATTGATTGATATTAGATCATCATTTAAAAACATTTGTACATTCATGATCTTAATTACGGTATTCGAACCTAGAAACCTTTGATCTTGTGCACGAATACTTAAACTCTAGACAACTAAGCTGCCATCTAACGGTATTCATGTTTGACTTTAATCAATAGTGGTCTCATATCAATCGATTTAGGATCTTAATCAAAAACTTAATCTCTATAACCCTATATTGATATTTAATTGGTGTTTATTAGATGGTATCTCGATAGTAACAATTAAGTCATTTGTATATGTCTGTATCAAATGAGAACTTCAGTGACTCTTGATGTACATGTCTATTTTTGATTTCCTGGTGATGTTGACAAAAATAGCACGGTTCTGGAGTAAGAGACATATATATTGTTACTTATTTAAAAAGTATATATTTGTGTACTCGGTTTTCGGTTACACTTTTCGTAGGATAGTTAAGAAATGATACATGGCTGCCCGAAGCGAAAATAGAGGAGTAGGATTTGAACTTGCGACTTAGTAGTTTAACATTGAATAACTGCACCAATATGTTACTCCTCCACAAAAAAAACATATACCTAATATAACTGAGATTATTCAAAAGATTCAAATTCAATTCATTTACTTCGCATGCTGAAAACAAGCATGGAACTTTTATATGATCGATATTTTGTACATTGGACTAACATATAAAAGAGAGCGAAATAATAGTAATGGTGCTTACTTAATGGTTGAGAAGATATTGCAAAAAGTTTGTCAGAAACTCTCTCGATATGTTCACATGATTCTAAGCAAGCATCATTGGTCCCCTTGTCTTCAGACGGACTACTGTTAGCATTTATTTTATTGCTATTGGCAGAAACATCATTACTATCAGATGACATTATAATACTTCTTGCACCTTGAGCTAATGAACGACATGCTTCTAAGCCAACATGACGTAATGGACCACGAGGATCAGCTAGCCAACGTTGAGCCTGAACTAGTTTGCCTTCAAGTGTTCTAGCCAAACGAAATAATGGATTACATGTATGATGCTGTTGATCACCAACGCCACCACCATTATGATCACGTAATGATAAATCTTTACATAATCTAGATAATTGATTTAATTTTGTACTAAGTGTATTGGCAATATGACTTGCTTCTGATCCATTACCCTGAAATAAAAATACGTATATTGAACATTGGTGAATAAATAGCTATCATCTGTTTGATTGATTAGAAAAACGGAACAAAAGAATTATAAACGAGTTACTTTAAAAATTCATGTAAGAAGCATATTGGCGGCCGTTTACATTAATCCTACACATCCAATAAAATGAATTCCGTTATGCTAAAGCTAGACGGTAAAGGATTTAAGCCAATGCATAGTTAGATGTGTACAAAGTTGCATAGAAATAGAAGAGAATGAATATATTTTTTATTAGTAACAGCTGGATTTTGACGTCATTTGGAAAGTCAAGGTTACCAACCAAAGATTGCGGGATCTCCAGGACTTCAGCCAAGATCAGCGCTCCAGTGGATGACGTTTTGTTATTTGAAACGTACGGTACAGGATTTGATTCTCGATACAATTATTAATAGTATGGTATAAGCGTATTCAGCCGAAAAGATCCATATAGGACAAACATGTTTTATGGACACCCTGCTATACAATGTTTAACTTCATTAAAAACTCCAGTCAAGATGTGTAAAACGTTCCTCAGAGGTCACAAACCTATGAACCTCTATGAGATTAATGAACACCTTTGATGTATTTATTACACGAAGTTGACCTGTATTGTATGTTGTACGACAAATGTGTAAGATATGAGTGACGTAAATCAAACAACGTTAACCATAGTTAGCGTATGCATAGGGATAGATATATAACTCAGTTGATCAAACAAAATATAGATGAAGTGGTTTTACAACGAATAAGCAAATGGTTGAATTATCGAGTTGCACATGATATAATTCCTGGTCAATATGCAATGAACATCTTATCGATAAAACAAACATCTATATGTCCAATAAGCAAATTCCTTTGAAATGTGTAATCATCAGAATGGCAAGTTGGACTACTACACGCTATATGTGACAAGCGTTGAGGACATACGAATGAGTTATATCAATCAAAACTGTAGGTACGAATGGGTAACCTAACCATGATTTTATATTTACAGTGAAATGTGTATGTGAATACAGTCCTATAATAAATCAGATACCATCAAATTTTAATAAAATCACATATGATCAGTAGCTTACAAGACGAAACCAAGGACAGAATTTTCAATACAAATGTCAAGACAGTTCTACTGTATGGGGTGGAAACCTGGAGAACTACGAAAGCCATCATCGAGAATATACAAGTGTTTATTAACAGCTGTCTATGCAAAATACTTCGGATCCTTTGATCAGACACTATCAGCAACAGCCTACTGTGTGAGAGAACAAACCAGATCCCAGCGAAGGAAGAAATTAGGAAGAAGCATTGGAAGTGGATAGGACACATATTGAGGAAAACACCAAACTGTGTCACAAGGCAAGCCTTCACATGGAATCTTCAAGGTCAAAGGAAAAGAGGAAGACCAAAGAACACATAACACCGAGAAATAGAGACTGACATGAGAAGAATGAACAAAAATTGGATAGAACTAGAAAGGAAGACCCAGGACAGAGTGGGTTGGAGAATGCTGGTCGGCGGCCTATGCTCCATTGGGAGTCGAAACAAAAATTTTCTTACTGCACACTTATTAGATTGTTAGAAAGATGGTAAAAAATCAAATCAATATTTAATACCCAAAATAGATAACGAATCAATCCATTCAATTAGTTTTATCTCCCTAAAGGAAATAGTAAATCAAATTAAAAATACAATTGATAAAGTACCAACGATTTATTCATTCATCTGGCCAAACAAGAAAACATAGACAAAGGAACATGGTCAAGTCAAAAGAAATCAAAACAATTCTAATTTGTACACAAATACCTACTTATTGAGCCAGGTCATACTATCAACATTAAAATAAAAATCACAAGCATCCCTTCAAGTACTTAACATTACAGATGAACATTGGCACACACACACACATACATAACCGATGAAGCTCTGACCAATGACGTAGTGCATTTTCAGACTTTTAGTCTTTCTTAGAGATTACATTTCAAGAAAGTAAACATGAAACATTTACCAATTTTAGTCAGACAGAATTGTGGAAATTTTAGTTCAATTTGTAGGTTATATTCATTATAATTCAATGTTAATTAGGGGCCCATTAAAAATTAAAGAGAACCGGATAGCTGTACACACAAGACTCTGTCTGTATTTGAATTGAGAACTATGTGGTACTAAAACGAACACTTAATTATCAATGGTACAATTATAACTTATATCAATTCGTGACAACGATCGACGATTACCTAATGATAATATTAATTCTACTTTTCAATATAGTTTTGTAATTATCTAATCATACTAGATTTTAATTTTATTATGATTATCATTTAACTTCAATCTACTCCTCATAATTCATTCATATTGAAAGTTTCTATTGAATTTTACTTCAATCAACTGTTCAAACCACTGCTCAGTAAATTAAATTTTAAGCGTTTTCGTTCGAGAATGATATGTTCTGGATTCGAATCCTGCGGGGTGTGATCGCGGATACACACTGCTAGAATAAAACAGCTATTCAGTACTTTCAGGTTTTCCATGATGGTCCTATTTTATTTTATTTATTTAAACACATAAACATTTATGCATCCCGTGATATAATTTACTTATGTGAACACATAAATATTAGTTCAAAGGGACATTGAATACATATGTGTGCAGGCTATGATACTACTCGGGTGCCGAAACCGAAACAGGTGATTTTCTTAGAGAACCACAACTGGAGCCTTCAGTCTAAAGGTTTGATCGACAAGGCAATGGAGTAACCTAAGGAGATACAGTCCCATGGTAGCCGGTCATCAATAATTGGTTCATACTCAGTTTGTTCCTTCGGGATCCTGGAGCCCATGTGAACCATTGGTTTTGAATGAGGGTTTTCCAACTCCCCCTAGGTGGGTCCTTCGTATCCACCAACCCGTTTAAAGCGCCAGATATCTACTTTTCTTCCTTTCAATTTCGTAAAGAACACGCCCGCCACAAGACGGCAGTGAGTAGGACTTCCCTGACAGTGGTTGTATGCATGTGGCCATGTGAGAGCATTTCGAGAAGGAGAGTTGACTCTCCCTACTTTCAGCCGTATCAGAACATTTGTGGGCCTATGTTGGTTTAGCTTCAATTGACTTATGAATTCTGTTATTATAATGTTCACATAACCCCTTTTTGATGTTAATTTATTATTTTATTGTGTATTGATCCTCTTTATTTATGTAAATAATAAACTAATTGCAATTTAATCTTTTTGATATTTACCTAAAGATTAATGATTAAATGTATTTTTATATGATTAGAAATGAGGTTATTATTACCTTTTTACAATATATACTTTCTACAATGTTAACATGATATTTGTTGCTAAGGCTAAATAGGCATATATACATTTAGAGATATTGATTAAATAGTATAAAAAGAAAATAATAATAATAATAATAATAAAGTAATCAACTGAATAGTATTCAATGAATTATAATCATGTATACTTTTCCAATAACTGGTAATTTGACAATGAACAAGGCGACAAATTCAGTTATACACAAGCTATATATATATATATATATATATATATATATATATATATATATATATATATATATATATATATATATATATAAACAGTGGTATTTCATTAAGACATCAATATAATAAGTAATGAATGGTAAACACAAGAGACAATTTGTCATACATATAACATCAATAAAGAGTATAATCTAGTTCTTTCCTTTGTTTATAATGAACTTATTTACGATGAATAGAAAATCAGTAATATATTATGTAATACTATGAAATATGGATTAATTGTTGTTCAAATGAAAATTAATTACAGATAATTAGGAAAATACTAATTGAAAGTATTTCAAAGGTAAAACAATAATTAAGTATTACTTGATATGATAAGTCAGTCAGTTATCAACAATGTAGAACTTCGTACGTACGTACATCAATTCTAGTTGCTATACCATATTACCACACAGATACAATTGCTGATTCAAATCACACAGTGGTAGAGGTAGTAAGAGTATAAACAGTAATCAGAAACATTAGGGTTTGAAGATGTTATTTAAAGAGTATAATCCAATCAAATAAATTTGGAAACAGGAAAAAACGGACATGAATTCAGAAGATTAGAATTTGGGAGGACACAAAGACTGGATGAACCTGCACCATTGCAAACGATTTTGAGCCATGTCATTCAAGGTCTATCATCATTGGTTGCTATCGTCTAGCGAATTCCAACCAGTTAGTCTACACCTATCAGTCCACTTGTCAGTGACTCCATGGATTTGTGTCATGTTATGGGTTTGGTCGCCCCTAGCTTCCTTATAACCTACTCCTACACCATATGGTGAGTACAGTTTTAATTCAATGGAGACTAATTGACCTTCAAATGGATATTCGTAAATTGTTTATAATACCTTATCACGATGGTTATCATGATAATGTTGAACATAAGTGTTGTTTTATTGAATATAAAATCTATTTTATTAAGTAGCTATCATGTTTTTTAATACCAGTATTCTTTATTCAGATTTTACATACTGATTTATGGCTATTAGGAATAGAGGATATTTGTATTCCAAGCATTGCTCATGTATATTGTAATCGATGAGTGAACAATAGATAAAGTTTGCGAATTGATTGATTAGGGTAGTAATAATTTATCAAGTAAGATGCTTGGAACATGCATAACATATACCCGACCACCAATTATCTGAAAGGTGTAGTGGTACATTGGAGAAGGTTAGACTTCCAAATCACGAGAAAATATTACTGTATTCGGTTATTGACAACTGTACTGAAAGACATGTAAATAGGTGCAGAGTACCTAGTTTGGGTACCTACAACAATAGTAACGAATATTTAGAGATGTTGCGTAACATGGCTCAGAATCAGTCACAATGACCCAGATACATTATCTCTTTGAATTCCCCTAATTCAATTAACAAATCCGAACTCAAAACCAGTATTGTCAGTACATAGTTAGAACAGTAAACTATAGTGTTTTAG